AGAGATAGGGAGAGGAAGGGAGAGGGGAAAGGCTAAAGACCATGGAAGGCATCCATGAGAAACTGGATGCCCAAGGGAAGGCACTGAGGGTGAACAGGGCGCAGTCTGCAGTGGTGATGCCAGGGGGAGCTTGTGCAGGTCACGGGGGGGGGGTGGAGGGAGGGGAGCCAAGCCGGGGTGAGCAGAGGGAGAATGTGAGCAGAAGATGGGCGAGCACAGGCTGAGGGTGAGGAGAGGTCTGAGCAGAAGAAGGTTGGCCAAGAGGAGGTGAACTGAGCATCTGGAGCCCAAAGCCCTTGCCAGAAGCCCCACACCTACAAGAGCTGCCCGGAACCTGTAAGTCTCAGTCTGTGGCACCAAGTCCGGCTTTCCAGCAGTGGATCCAGCTTCAGTCTAATGGCTGTAGGCTGAGACGCATATTCTTAAAGATGTTCCTCAGGCCTCTGTGTGTGCCACTGTGTCACCTGGGGGCTCCTAGGAGCGACAACTGTGAGCTGGTCACTGAGGCGGATCCCCTGAGCTCAGGAGGACTGGGAGGGGAAAGAGGACAAGAGAAACGGAGGTCGTGCACCCCATCTATCCCTGACCATCACAAAGAGTGCAGGGTGAGGCGTGGGAAAGAGCTGGGTGTAGGAGCCAGCACACTTCTGGGTGTGTCCTCAGTCTCACCTTGCACCGTCAGGCCCATGTGACAGATCCTGCAGTCCAGGAGCCTGGCAGAGTGCTGGACACAGACAGAGCTGCTCCCTTCATGCTCATGGGCCTTTAAAACAGCGTAGATTTATTGTGGCTTGTAAGAGGCACGGGCTAATGGCTCGGCATGGATCATGTCTTAGCTTAACTGGTTACTGTGCAAGCTGCTTGTTTCTTCTGTGTGATCCCTCGTCTCTGCCTTTGGAGCAAAATCCTTCACAGGCTCACACAATCAGTCAGCCCTCACTCAGGCCTGCACTGCGCTTGAGAATGGCCCATCCCACAGGGTGGCTCAGATCCCAGGGACACCAGGCTGAGACAGAGCAGCCTATTTCTGGTGGCGCTACCACCACATGAAGGTTGATGGCTGTGTGTGTGTGGAGGAGTGGAGACAGCACTCTACACATGACAAGACTCCCTTCTCATGTAATCCATGAGGCAACAGGTGGACTCATCCAGAGCCGGACAAGTCTCCTAGCAGGGAGACCAGGAGCCAACCTCTGCAAAGGACAATGACATTTATAGTCTTGAAAACAAAGAGCCAAGTGATCCTAATTTTTATGATGGCATTTCTTTCCGAGGTCATGGCATTTCTTTTAAGTGTTCCTAAATCTTTTGACCTTAAACTTATGTGGTTCTTGTTCCCTTTTGAAGTGTGGAAATTTCCTAACTTTTGTGATCCAAAAGCAGTCTGTCTAGAAGCTCTTTTAGAGCGAGCACACCACAGCATGGTTACATGTTCACCTGTCCTCACCCTGTCCCCAAGGGACAAGGACTTGCCTGTTTGCTCCAGAGACCCCCATGGTTCCTGGCAGGCCTCACTTGTCTCATTGGTGTTGAATGAATGTTCCCAGGAAGATTAAGGAGAGGAAAAACATTTAACTGAACATACTGTATGGATTTGTATGTCTGTTATTTTTATGTCCTTGTACATTTTTGTATCTCACATATATTAATATGGTATTAGATTTCTAGATTCAAAGATGACTTCAGGGAGAAAGAATCCAGAAAATCAAGCTTTTTGAAGTACAAGTTACAGTATATTTCAAGTATAATCTTTATTGCAATCTCAAATATCCCCAATGATATATCTTTACACTGTGACAGTATGAAACCAGAGCCCGAGACGCTAGCCTGTAACATAGGCTGGTCACATCCGTCTCCTAACACAAAATTAAATATAGGTTTCACTGTGTGTGGCAAATCATGTTCTAGTCCTGTGTCGTTTATATTATTTTAGTTTCCAATGAATTGTTTTATTTATTTATTGTCTCTAACTTATGCTTGAATACTTTTAATGCTTTGTTTCTTATCTTTCACCTGTACTTTATGTTTTCTTGAAGGTGAACATCACAAGTATAATGATACTATTGTTACTTTTCAGGAAAACATGTCAAGTCTTAGTTTGGTGAAGATTCTTTTTGTGCTGAATCATTTGCTCCTGGGCTGATTTCTCCCTAAGATTTTAGGGAGAGGACAGTTGTGGGCCAGGAATCTCCAGAGTGAAGTTCACACAGCCGAAACCCAAAGAACCACGAAAGCCCAAACAAGACTACTAGTACATCTGTCTCCTTATCTCACTCTGGATGTTAACTTTATATAATCTAACCTATGACACATGGATGAGCTAATGTATGCATGTGCTCATGTTATAAAGAAACCGTTATAAAATGCATGGTAACATTCTTGGCTGGTGGGAACATGAAGGCAGGATGTTCAGAGACCTCTGATCTCAGCTTGTGTGCATCCTGATGAGTAGCTGATCGGTCATCAAGTGTTCATGTCCAGTTACTGCCGGGTGGGGTTGGGCTCTTCCGAGTTCTCTGTGGCAGCTTTGTACCCCTCCAGGTTGAGGAAGAGCTTGAGGGGTTAGGATATGGACCCTGTGTGTTCTCTGGCCCATTCTCACTAAAAGAGCACTTTTTACTTGGTTCTTCCTCTCCAATAAGGGATCCAAGCCACTGTAGATGCTTTCCTCACTAGGAGAGCTCTTCACTGTCACATCTGAGTTTATGCCTGAAAAAATCAAGGCCTGAGCCTTACACTTAGGCTGACTCCAAGCAGGCTTTGCACTCAAAATGTAGTATTAGATTTCCTGACTTCAAGGTGACGGCCAGTAGGCAGTTAGGGTTCCCTCGGTGGCCCTCCCTGCCGTGAAAACTGAGAGCGCTGTCCTCTCCTGTGATGGTCTATGTTGATTGTAGAGATGGGGTGTGGATTATACATTGTTGGGTACAATTACCTCCGGATGACAATGCATCTTCTTTTAGATATCCCAGGGAGATAATTTGGATGTAATGAAGATCTATAGTAATCAGATAATTACTATCGATTGCTCTTTAGACATCTTGATGAGGTAATTAGGGCATACTGGAAAGCAGCTAGAACTGATTGATTGGCATGACTGTAATCTCAGAGATTTCTAATTATGTTTCTTTTCTTCTAATGGCTTATAAACAAACATCATTTTAGCTTTAAAATTTGTCAGGTGCCAGGTTCACTGGGAACATCAGCTTTCTCTATTATGCTAACTAGACACTGAACATGATCAACATAAGCTCATTATGCCTTCCTGCTGGAGCTGAAGAAACTGCAATTAACCCTCAGTTTGCTTATTCTTTCGCATCTCCACGTGGCCAGATTCTTGCCCGGAAGTGGGTTGTGCAGTGTCAGGAAGGTGTTCTGGGAAGGCAGTGTGTGACTCAAAGCTGGATGATCTGTGGGGCCTACAGGGGACCCGTGAGGCCTACAGATGCAGGCACAGCAGTCAGGGCACAAGACGTGACACGTGTGTTAGGGTGGCTGGCTGAGTGCTCAGGCGCCTGTCACAAATAATAGCTGCTCCTCACCAGTCATGGGAGAGAGCAGGTCAGTACTGTCAGGCAGCTGCTCTGCATCAGGCTTCTCTTGCCTGGTGGCTTTCATCTGACTCTGATTAGAAGACTCCCTCTCCGAGACCACATTCCACATTATCCTGCTATTGCCTCTACCTCAGGACCTTTCAGCAGCTTGCATTGCTCATGATAGTGGCCTGGCCCGTAGATGAAGGAGACTGAGAACCCCTAAAGAGGCAGCTTGGAATGATTTACTTGCATCTAATCTCTGACGTTGGGCAGCTCTGCAGTTGCTGGGCAGGTGTGTGGGTTTGCCTGCATTCAACACACACAAAGTGGAAACATTCCTGGGTACCAAGCAATCTGGTTCCCATGCCAGAAATTCTCCACGGTAATCTATCTGTCCCAGGGATCCTGGTAGGTGCCCAGTACACGTGGGTGGCAAGGTGGCATTCTGCATGAACATCTGTGTTCTTGAACTCCCTGCTTTCTACTGAAATGTCACCGAAGAACATCATAATTTGCTTCATTATTCTCCTGGGTCTCTATTGTAAGAAGGTCACAAATTTATGCATCTAAATTATAATTTATATATGATATATAAGAGATCTGCCTATCTATATCTACATAACTACATGTATATAAACTTTGAAGGCATGGGAGAAGCGCAGGAGGACTGGTTGAGGCAGCAAAGAATACGCAGGACACTCTGTTCATTGATAGCTTGTGGTGTGCTGCTATTTGGATAATTGCAGCTGTACTTGCAAATGCTTCATTAACTCCCATTAACTAGTTTGAGAAATGGAAGTATATATAGAATTTGTCTTCCTGTTATATCTTTATAAGTATGGAGCAATTTTTTCATCATCCACAATTCTGGAGAAATGAGTGTTTTTTAGGTTTAATCTGAGTAATTGTTTAGTTCAATATTTGTTGTTTAAAAACCTTGCTAATTTGTACCAGAATATTTTCTTCTAATAGGACATATAATGGGCATACTCTAATTTTTTAGTAATTAGGAATTATGCAATGGCTGATATTAAGCAAACATTTTATGATTTTATTTCTGTACATAAAGAACTAAATGTCTGAAACACATCCCAAATATTTGTTGGTTGTTTTATCAAATCCAATGCATGAGTTTCTTTAAATTATTTGCCCCTTTGCCTGAAAGTTAACTGAAAGATCTAACTCTTATCCACTTACCTATTTTTACATATTGTTTCTTTCATTGACTCTCCTTCAGTGTGGGGTCCTGGCTATTACTGCCCTGCATTTGATTAAGTTCCCTGAAGTTGCTGGCCAGGCCCAGCAGGAGACCCAGTCCTGTCCAGAATGGTGGCGGTCAGGCTGCAGGAGTGGAATTCATGGCGTCACGTACGCCAGGCATCCACCGGGAGATGAGGAGACTCAGGAGAGAGCTGACGGGAGGCACTGCAGGGGTGTGACTTGGTTCGGGGCGTGTCATTGCAGGAAGTCTTACAGCTAGAGAGACAGATGGGCGGACAGCTCTTAGAAGACCCCAAGGCTCTTCATTTCAAAGGCAGCACCCACAACCTGCGCCTGTCGATCCACGACATCGCCCATTCCCTCTGGAAGAGCAAACTGCTGGCTAAATATCAGGTAAGAGCGAATACAAGCTCGAGGAAAGAGGACTAGAGTTATACACATGTAACAAGACCTTTTCTTGCAATTGCCCTTATACCAGTATTCATTCTTCAAAATAGTTTGGGTTAATTCAGGATTTTTTTAAAAGTACCTGATGAACATATTTGATGAAAGCTTTTAAAGAAAATTATACCGATAATAACACACTACTGTAATAATGTACTGGACATGGTGCTAAGCGCCTGTCATCTCAGCTACGAAGGAGGCTGAAGCTGGAAGGCTGCTAGCGGGAGGCAGGCCTGGGCAACTAGCAGCACCCTGGCTCAAAGTAAAGGATAAAAGGGGCTGGGTGTGTTAGTGCAGGTGGAGCAGCTTCACATGTATTCCTGCGGTATGACAGTTAGGCTTTGGTCCTGCGAGGACAGCACCCTGAGTGAGGACGCATCCGTTTGGGAACTGAAATATCAGGTGAAAGCACAAGGATTTAATGAAATAATAAGCATACACATGCTGGCCTCAGGTACCGTCGTGTGGACCTGTGGGGAGATCACAGGACATGGGGTCACCAGCTCTGTCAACCCACCTGTAACTCAGGGGGCTGCAGGTGCCCACACCCAGGGGATCCTCAGGCTGGGAGATACAGACAGATGTGCTCGAATCTGTCTCCTCACAGACCAGTCCCGCCCAGCCCCACACTGCCACTGCCTGCTGGTTACTCCCGGGTCCACGTCAGTGAGCCCTGACTCACAGAGGAGGGAAGACAGTCTGTCTCCAGCCCCCATGGAGGGCTTCCCAGGGGACACAGGCCTGGAGTGCCACACCCTTCCTTCCACCAGTGCAGCCCCGAAGGAGGCGTCGGGCTCTGTCTCATGTCATCTCTTGCGTGGCTTGTTTCCTTCTTTCTTCTCTTTGGCACTGTCTGAAAGTCCCATTGATCTTTCCTTTCCTAATTCCTTTAAGCACTCACAGTGGGTATTGTTTTATCAAAGATGCCAGCATGGACTGTGTCACACTAACCCTGTCCGAGTGCTTTCCAGCCACCAGGCACTCTTAGGTACCTGAGTTTCTCTCTTAACCCCAGCAGGCCTATGATTTGGCTACTTCTGCCTTCTCTTTTGCAGTTGAAAACACTGAAGCTTGGGAAGGTTAAGTAACTTGCCCCAAATTATCAAATAGGCCAGAGGAAGGTGTTGTCATCTGTGCGTGCCCCTAGCCACCACACCCACCGCCTCCCCATGTGAGCCTGCGCTCATGGCAACAAGACTCCCAGGTGGGCTCTGGGTGGTGGCCCAGACTCCTGAGAGATCAACGCCTGTCAGGGGTTGGTGCTCTTTAGACCAAGAACTTTCTGTGGCAGCTGCTTGAGCCCGCACTTCCCAGCCATGTGAGCTGTGGCTTCCTGTCCCGAGCAGAGGGGGGACAGAGATGTGAGAGAAAGGGACCGGAATCAGTGCAGGAGCCTTCAGGCTTCCTTTGCTTCTTCCAGAATATCACTGTAGGGATTCCTTTTAATGAGCAATGATGGTGTATGCGGATTTTATTTTGGGAACTTTCTAAGCTTTTTAAAAGATCATTTATAATGGATTTTTTTCCTGTTTTTTTTTTTTTTTTTTTTTTTTTTTTTTGCAAATAAAGACTGGGGTATGTTTATAGAAGTTGACTTGCTGGGTTCAAATCTCAACTCTGCCACTTACTAGCTATGTGGCTTTGGGTGAGTTATTTAACCTCACTGGGCTCAGGTTTCTCATGTGAATATGGAGGTGGGATCTACTTGCACTTCGGGTTGTTAGGAGGATCAAGCAAGGCAGTGTAATTCTGAGAAGGCCTCCTGGTAGCAGGGGCACTGCTGGTATTAGTTCCTCATCTGAGACTAACACGTCTGTATCCTCCAGGAAATTCCTTTTTACCATATTTGGAGTGGGTCTCAAAGAAACCTCCACTGTACCTTCACTCTGGAGAGATTCAGCTTGAACACGGTGGAGCTGGTTTGCAAACTGTGTGTGCGACAGGTGGAAGGAGAGGGGCAGATCTTCCAGCTCAGCTGCACCGTGTCTGAGGTAAGGCGCCCAGCTGGGCGATGGGGGGCTCAGGAGGAGACAGTGCACATGTCCGTGCAGGCCCTGCAGGAGCCCGGAGAGCTGTCCTAGCACCCGGTGTTAAAGGAGGGATATTCCACACACACCCAGGTGCTAGAGCTGTGTGAGAACACAGGAGGGGGGCCACCCCAAAGCACATCTTATTGCCAGTGATAGGGGTTCTGGTTCTCACATGAAGGCAGACCCTCCTCTCAAGTGTTGTAAGAGTTACCTGTACGTGCAGGTCCCTCCCCCAGCATGCCACATCTGTCCACATCTGTCCCCAACCCTCGCCCTAGTCATGCTGCTGTGCAGGGAGGAGGAAAGTTAAGGGAAGTCACTGCACCCCCACTTTTTCCTTCTTCATTCTCCATGTTGATTTAAGGAAAAATGTCTTGATCTTTATCTCTCATATATCTTCCAAATGTCAGAAGAAATGTCCTTTCCCCCGCGGTAGAGGAAATGTTCCAGAAACAGAAGGAGCATCTACATGTGGTCCCTGGAAAAATCATCATTTTGTGCCGTTCTTTGCTGAGATTTCTCCAGGCTTCAGTCGGGCAGGCGTGGTCATCTTACAGTGATAACTGGTCACCGCTGCCTCCGCCTCTCCGTAAGCGGAGGACTGGCTGGAGCCTGTCTGGTCTCTCGGGGAGCCCAGAACAGTAAGAGGCAGGCGGGTCAGGCGCTGGTGGGGCTGAGCCCGGTGCTGCTGCTGAGCTGTTTCCGAACTACAGTGGGCCAGCGCAGGATGTGGAAGTCCTCCTCCTGCCTGCTGGTCTCGAGCACAGCGACCCACAAAATGTCAGCCGGCTCAGTCTGTCTTGCCGCACATGTCGCATTTGAAGCCCACCTCTCTGCCTCTGCGTTCCCACAGCCCGCTGAGGTGCGGCCATCACTGCCTCCTGTAGTTTCATGAGACTTTTGACTCATAAACAACTTTAGTCACAGACCTCGGTGACATTCATAAGGAATGATCTCGGTGTCACGGCGCCATGGCAACCGCCAGGCCTGCGGATGCTCAGCCCTATCTCCCAGGCACACAGCTCCACCCCTGCTGGCTGCAGAGGGTGTTTTCACTTTCCAGGCCCAGCAGGTCTGCAAAGTTCAATAACCACCCAGCTCCGCAGACAACAAAGGCTGCAGAGTTCCGGGGGGGTGCGGAGGTCTGGCCCTTTGATGCTGGCTCTGTGTGCAGCGTGTGTTTGCTGTGTGCTGAGAGGTGGATCAGATGTGGCCGCAAATGAAAGGGAGCTGCTTGGTGCTCCCCTGGGCTGGGGCTGCCTTCTCCTCGCAGAGAAAGGCCGGTTTGGCATAGTGTGATCACAGCGTGAGGACTTTCCTGCGCCCATGTGGAGGAAAGATGACTTCCCGTGGGACTTGGCAGCCGTGAGGCCCGCAGTCACGTTGAAGGTACCGGCCCACGTGTGACAGGCACGGGCAGTAGAGAGGGGCACAAGTGACTGGCGTGGAGAGGACTTCAGGGAGTGAGGGGACTCTGCTGCCTTGCTGTGGTGAGCGTCTGAATGCAGGCTGCGGTGCTCAGGGAGGCGTGGGGGTCTGGTGCTGATTCGGGAGGGCCAGACCCTGTGCTGATGCCTGATGGACTCTGAGGAGTCCTGAGACCCGGATTCTCACCAGAAACTGTGAGAAGGGGTCCAGCATAACTAACAAGCCACAAACAGAGGAAAGGCTGGTCTCTTCTGAACCCTGCACCTTCCTACGGTCACAGTGCAAGTGGCAGGGGTTCCAATTCCAGTGTCCTGTCTCCTGGAATGAGCTTGTCGGGAGCGTTCTGCCCTCACCACACACACACTGAACGGCACTCACAGACAATCGGTTATTGAGCCACACGGCCCCAGCCCCTCCAGTCGGCAAAGAACCGGTTTACCTGCCATAGAGACCAGAGACATGCGCATGCGCGACACAGGGCGTGGTGATGTCAGCAGTGGCCAGTTGTCCCTCTCTGGCCCCATCACCAGAAGTTCCTTAAAAGGCTCTAATTTCACAGAGGTGAAGCTTAAGAAGGAAAATGTTTAAAGTCTAAAAGCCTTGGCATGAGTGAGTGTCAAAATTAAGACAATGTTAAAAGATATTTTTCTTGTTTTCTATATTTCCAGGCTTTTAGTTCTAGCTATAATGAAATACTGTTTTACCTTTTTTCCATTAAAAAAAGATCAGGGGCTGGGGATTTAGCTCAGCGGCACAGTGCCTGCCTGGCAAGCGCAAGGTCGTGAGTTTGATTCCCAGTACCGGAAAAAATAAATAAATAAATAAATAAATAAATACAAAAAGGTCAATCACAGCAAGTGCCCAACTGGACAGTTCTGTAGGAACATGTGAAATTATTTATCCCTTTTGCCTCCATCCCCTCATGGTTACACTGGTCCGTTGGACCCGCTGTGAAGCACGGATAAGTGAATGTTAGAAAATACTGGAAACAGAACTTGATCCATATCATCTGTGGAAGGTGGCTGTGCTCTTTCATTGCTGTTGGGGTAAATGGGTGCTTGAGTAAGCTTTGCCACCTCAAGATGTCGTCTTAAGTTTCACATTATCTTTCTAGTAAAATGAACAGACAGATAAACTTTCTATATAAAGTACATATAAGCAAATACAAATTAGCTCCCTCAGAAAAGGAGGCACATGTCCTCAGGCTTATCATAAGGTTGCATTTGTTCCTGGCTCTGAACCCTGAAAAAGGTGCAATTTTAAGGTTATCAATCACCTTATAATAGCTTTTGAGATAATTATGACCATGGTGATAATTTCTTACATTTGTTGGATCTTTTGACCTTTATTAACTACTGGTGCACAGCACTTTACTGTTTAAAAGAATACTATGACAAATGTTCAAAGTAACATCACCCTGCTATAGCTGTTCTACCTACTTACCTCTTCTATCTTCTATAAGCCATTCAGTGACCATGGGGAAAGTCTAGTTTTTTGAAATGTTTTTGAATGAGTTAGAAGGTAGTCACAATCATGTGAACCTGTAGATGTGGCTACCCGGAAGGTAAGGCAGGAGGACAGTTTCAGCCCAAAAGATCAAAGCAGGCCTAGGAAACATAGCAAGATTCTGTCTAATAAAATGAAGAAGGGTTGGCATGGGGGTGGGGGCCAGCACGGTGCTAGCACACATGCTGAGCACGCACAGGGCGCTGGGATGTGTGCTGTCAGCCACGGCAGCTGCTTGGTTAATGGTGAAAAATCGTATGTGTAACTAAGGGAATCATAACATCAAAGACAGATGGTACCAATATCATAAACGATTATTGTAATAAGCATTCTGTGAGAGTAATCTCTACTCTTACCTGGAAGTAAAGGAAAAACTAATGGCAGCTGAAATTACTGGATGAAATGTAAATGTGTGTATGTATTTTCTTTTACCTTGAAGGCTACTGTCGGCCCCCTGATAACAGAGACATGAAATTGTGCCTGTAGAGTTTGTGTCCTCTACATCAAAAGGAACAAGCAGAGTAGGCAGGGTGGGAGGCTCAGGATGTTGATACCCACATAAAGTAACAAGCATTCTCTCCTCGCTAAGAAAAGAGGAACATGAATGTGTGAGCAGACCTCCCCAGGAGCCCGTGTTTAATTGGCCCATAACTCCAGGAGCTGGGGATGAGACTCATCCAGGCACATTTGGTTGGAAGGCAGCTCAGCACACTACTCCAAGGTGGTTCCCCACAGTCAGGAACTGGATTCATCTTCTTGCTGTACTAGGAAAAAATATTTTCTCTCATGTCAGCAAATACAGAGTGGCTACTACATGCATGGGTCCTAACAATGACAAAAATAGAAGAAAAGTGAAAGTGCTAGACGAGGCCTCTGTGGCTTCTCTTTGGGAGCAGGAGGTCACAGGCCGGGGTACAGGGCAGACTTTGACTAGCTTGCCTGAGATCAATGAAAAGGCAGAAGAACAGTCCTAGGGCTGCCCACAGACATGATGGTAGGGACAGTGTGAGGGTACTGCAAGCCAGGCCATTCACACTCAGGAGCGGCAACATGAGCAAGGTTGGAGGGAGACTGTGCAGATGTGGTGTCCCTGCTTCACATCAGGCATGGACCCTGCACCTCACATGTGCCACCTATGTGGCCTAATGCCCACCAGCAAGGCAGGCCATGACAGTCACTCTCACTACTTAACAGTAGGGAGGAATCTTTTAAAGAAGAACTGTGCCACGTTTCACGCTACAGATCCCATAGACTTGAGAGGGAGGGAAGCCTCCCAAATTCACTCTCTAAGGCCGGTGTTACCCTGTGTTATGGCTTGCGTAAAGATGTCCCACATAGCCTCATGTGGTCATAGGTGGGGCTTTTTCAGAGATGGCTGGATCAATGTGATTGACTCATGGTGTAATGCTAGGATTAAGGGTGGGTGATTACTGCCCTAATCTTGAAAACCTGGATACAATAAAAGGGGCAAAAAGAAGCTACCAAGGTCCCTTCCTTGCTTCACTACTTTCTGCCTGCCATGAACTATTTCTCCTCTATAATGCCTGTTTCCCATGCCACCCTGCCTTGGAGCCAGCCAACTATGGACTGAAACCTCTATAAATTATGAGCCAAATAAACCTTTCCTCCTTTAAGGGCGGATGGGTATTTTGTCTCAGCAATCAGAGAAAAGTAACTATTATCAAAACAAAACGACACAACAAAAGAACCATCACCAGTATTCCTGATGATCATAGGTGCAAATATTCTCAACAAAATACTAGCAAACTGATTCACCATGATGAAGTTGGGCTCACCCCAGGGATGCCAGGATTATCAAATATATGCAAATCAATAAATGAAAATACACTATAACAACAGAATGAAGGATATAAATCATGTGATCATCTCAATAGGTACAAAAAAGCACTTGATAAAATTCAACATTCTTCATGAGAAAAGCCTTGAACAAATTAGGTATAAAAGGATCACACCTTAACATAATAAAGGCAATATCTATTTTTTTTTTTTTTTTTTTTTGGTTTTTCTCCGGTACCGGGAACCGAACTCACGACCTTGTGCTTGCCAGGCAGGCGCTTTGCCGCTGAGCTAAATCCCCAGCCCTAAAGGCAATATCTAAAAAAACCACAGTGAACCTCATGCTGAAACACTGAAAGTATTTCCTCTAAGATCAGGAATAAGACATGGGCATCTACTCTCACAACTCTTATTCAATACAGTACTAGAAGTTTAGCCAGAACAATTAGTCCAAAGAAAGAAATAAAAGGCATACAAATAGAAAGGGCAGTCAAATTATGCTCTTTGTACATAATATGAATCACTACACAGAAAATCCCCCCAATTTACCAAAACACTATTAGAACTGATAAATGAATTCAGTAAGAGATCAACATACAAAATCAGTAGCTTATCTATAAATAATGAATTTCTTGAACAAGAAGTCATGAAGGAAATGTCATCTACAGAAGCTACCTGTATTGGTTTCAACAATAACATACCCAGGAATAAACTTAACCAAGGAAGTAAAAGATATCTACATTGAAAATTATAAAACTGGTTAAAAAACTGAAGGCGACACATGAAAAATTGAAAGGCCTCACATTCATGGATTGGAAGAATCAATATTGTTAGACATTAGAAGAATCAATATTGTTAACATGTCTAAAATTCATATGGAAGCAAAAAAGAACCAAAGAGGCAAAATAACCTTCAGCAAGATAGAGGCATCACAATATCTGATTTTCAGATATACTATAGAACTATCCTAACTGAAACAGAATAGTATCAGCATAAAAAAATGTACAGACCAGTGCAGCAGAATAGAAATCCCAGAAGTAAAGCCACATCACTATACCCAACCAATTCGCAACAAAGGCACTGAAGCACGCACTGGAGAAAGGAACTTCTCTGTGATACGTGGTGCTAGAAAAGTTGGGTACCCGCCTGCAGAAAGTGGAAACTTGATCCCTATCTCTTACCAAGACTAGTATTTTTAAAAATCAACTCAAAATGGATCAAAGATCTAAACGGAAGACCTAAAGTCTGAAACTACTGGAAAAAAATCAAGGGAATGCTCTTCAAGACAATTGTATAAGCAATGATTTTCTTTATAGAATAGCAAAAGCACAGTGAACAGAAGTAAAGATTGACAGCTAGAATGACACCAAACTAAAAACTTCTAAAAGCTTGAAAAGCTGTCAGCAGAGTGCACAGCTAGTCTACAGAACAGAAAAAATATTTGCCAGCTCTTCAGAAGATGGAGGGTTGATATCCAGAGTGTATAAGGAACTCAAAAAACTTATTTATAAGGAAATATATATTCAGATCTAAGGAATGAAATTCTGTCATTTGTAGCAAAATTGTAGAATTAAAGGGCATTATGTTGAGTGAAATAAGCTAGACACAGAGTGTCAAGTACTCCATATTTTCTCTCATATGTGGAAGTTAAAGATGACTGACCTAACATTAGAATAGTGATTAGAATGATTATTACTATTCTAATGTTAGGTCATTAGATTGGGAACTCAAAAAGCTTAACAAAAACCAAACAATCCAATTTGAAATGGGCAAATGATCTGAGTAGACACTTCTCAAAAGGAGAAATATGAATGACCAATAAATATATGAAAAATGTTCATATATTTGCGAAGGAGATTAGGGATGGAGTGATTGGGTTTGATCAGTGCATGTTTTATGCATGTATGGAAATACCACAGAACCCCATTAATATGTACAATTTATACATCCTATAGAGAAAATAAAAAAGAGTTGAGATTTCATAAAGGAGAGGGGCATTTAACACTTCTAAATGAGAGAGTAAGAGAAAAAGGAGAGCGAAATATGGTATACATCCATGAGCACTGCAGGAAGCTCAGTCTGGTGGATGTACAAGATGCATTACAGGTAAGCAGTAGGGAGTTACTGTGCTAACAGTAATAAGGAGATTCTCTGGGGATACAAGTCGGCACTATAAAAGCTGATTCCTCCCCATGCAGACTGCAACCTCCACTGCTGCCCAGGAACAGTTAGGGTGGCTTTGTATCAGAGGATTGGTAGGTTTTGAATTAGTCCTCTTGTCTAGAAAAGAAGCAAGAAGACTTCAACATGGGTGATGGCACTAAGTTGTGGAAATAGCAGGAACTTTCTCTTTGCCTCCACTGCTCAGCTCATCCGTATACTGTTCTGTGTCTAATAGAAGCACTGGGACACTTAGGTTGAGCCATTCCCATACAGTATTAGTAAACATTGACATATGCCCTCAGATCACTGTCCTGGTTTCCTTTCTGGAAAGTCTATGTTCTGGAGGTCAGGAACTCTCTCCTCCCATCCTTGCAAAACAGCCCTGTGCCAAAAGAAAAAAGCTATGAGTTGCAGTCCTCATTCCACACACTACAGTCCTTTAAATCCTGATATATGCTGGGGCTGGCACAAAGGAGCCCACAGAATCTGTCTGCCAAGTTTTAGGTTGTGAAGCCCAACAGTGTGATAGCAGCCAATGCCACTGCATATACGATGGCCCCCACAATTAGTGTTGCTCTAAAATGCCATCCCAGCCCCTGGCTGGGCCTTGTGTAGTGGGATTACACTTACACAAGCCTAGAAAGCAGGACACACTGCAGGTCAACCTGCAAGGCAGGCAGCTTTGACCCCACCTGCCCCCCAAGCACCAGCACCCACGCATGGGCAGAGGGCACTGAGGCTGTGCAGGCCTGGCCGTGGGGACTGTGGGCACCAGTGGCATTGGTGGCCTTGACTCTGGCTGAGCACTAAGGCCCCTGACATCAGAGATCGTGAAGCCTGAGGTTCTCTGTGGCTACTCATCCTCTAGCAATTGATTATGCACCCTAAGATTAAGTAGATTTGCTTTTATTGCTTTACTGGTTCCCAGGCAACATTTGCTTTTGCTTTTCTAACCAGCAGAAGTGATTAGAAAATGATTAGAGTTTCTCTTGCAGATGAAATCCAGAGTTTTGCATTTGTGCTGTTTTATGAGCTGAAACTATTTTAAGAGCCAATTTATAGTTTTCTCTACTAAAATTAGACTAAAAAAAGGATGTTCAGCAATTGGAGGATGCCATTAGCAGCCTACCCTCAGGCAATATACTGATTTTCTTAAAATTCTTGTCCTATATCATTTAGCCTTGTTCTGTTTCACCCCATAAGAGTTGGAATTCACCTTCCCAGGCTAGCAGCAGAGCCACTGGGCCCCTCCCAGGGCATCCTCTTCAAGGTCAAACAGTTTCTAGAAGCTCTACCTTTCAGCTTTCTAATCTCAGATCTGTTCATTCTCAAAGAAGTGCCCCTTTGAACATTTCCCCCCTCTTGTAATCTGACCTCCTAGGAGCATTCTCCCTTCCTTCCCCTTCCATACCCTGCCCTGCCCTGCCCTCCCCACCCCTTCCCTTCCCTCTCACTCCTCCCCTTCCTTCCTAGAGAGCCCCATTAGAAAAGTCATTACTGAATCATACCACAGCTTTACAGCTAGCTCAGCCCCTACCAAAGACCCATAAATGCAAGGATATGCAAAACTAGCTCAAAATGTACCTCTGAGGGCAAGAGGGAGAATGATAGCTGTCCTTGTTCACCTCCTCAGAGCAGGACATCATGTTGATTGGTTCAACAGGGATTCCTTTTGTCTTCAGAAATAATGCCATGTTGTTCCTGCAGGAACCCACTGGCATCGATCTGCCACTGCTGGATCCAGCCAGCACCATCACCACCGTCACAGGGCCGAGTGCGTTCAGCATCCCTCTCCCTATCCGGCAGAAGCTCTGCAGCAGCCTAGATGCACCCCAGACAAGAGGCCATGACTGGCGGATGCTGGCCCATAAACTCAACCTGGACAGGTGCGTGTATCCAGGCTCCACAGCCTGTTAGACACAGGTCTCCAGGATGATAACTGTTACACATAAGACAACATTCATTTTTCCCAACCACCACTTTTCATTCTACCAGTATGTATGAAACACCTTCCATGTATCTAGCACCATGGGCTTGTGAACAGAGTTCAAAGATATCCTGGGTTTATCTGACATGTGTAAGTACTGAGTTTTGTGACCCACTTTGCCAATCCGATGGGTTAAATCCCCCAATAGTCCACTGGCCAGAGTGATTCTTTTTCTCATTTCCAGTTGAACTGAGCACAATGCTTGACAGATAATTAACCTGCTAACATTTCCCTGATAGTAAGCCATAAAGAGAACTTGGGAACCCGGACTCTGTGGAGCGTTGCCATCACTACCAAGAAAAGGAGTGGCATGATCTGTCAGAGACCTTCAGAGACTTAGCTGGAAAGAAAACATAAGTCTCTTCATTTCCTCCTTAGGGTATGACCCACAGACATCTTGTCTCTTAAAATATCTTACTCAGAGTTGAGGTTAACAAAGTTAAAAATCACATCTCCAGTCTGAGGCTGACCTGATTAGGTGTGGGCTAGTCATTTAGGGTGGCTCACTGGAAACCACAATGGGATAAGGTATTTCAAGGCCCAGAAAAGCAGAAGAGAAAATAGGTCCATATATCATGCCTCTCAGCACATTTTCCCATTTCTAATTACAGGTACTTGAATTACTTTGCCACCAAATCGAGCCCAACTGGCGTAATCTTGGATCTTTGGGAAGCACAGAACTTCCCGGATGGAAACCTGAGCATGCTGGCAGCTGTCTTGGAAGAAATGGGAAGACATGAAACAGTAGTGTCTTTAGCAGCAGAAGGGCAGTATTGACCACACTGGAACTAAAATGAAGGACAGAATGCACAGGGAATCTGTGGCCGTCCAGGGAAACACAGCTGGGGAGGAAACCCAGACCAGACCAATGAGCTTCAAAGGCAAGATGGCAGCAGGAGAAGGAAAACAGATAGAACTACCAGTGTACGCACCCACTTTACTCGGACAGCATCACAGGAGTTAAAAATTGTGTAAATTTGTAGCTTGAATTTGGAAATCAACCTAATTTTCCTCTTAGTTGGGCTGTATGCTGTATGGTACAGGATCTTACAGTTTCCTAGGAAACGCTTTTTATTGCTATCCAGATATATGGATAAACTTTCTTAACAAACCCAATTTCTACAAACGTTGTTTACATCAAATTGGACAGGGATGCAGACACTGTCCATGGCTCACTCTATTTTTGTTCAGATCATTTGAAGTTGAAGCTGTGGACGGTTTGTTGTGTCTATTTCAGATTAATCATTTACAGAGAAATCGCAGACTTTTGATACAAATTGTGTACATCACGTGTCTCAGATAATCCTCCCATGAGTGTTCTGTTTCTAGAGACTGTAGAACCAGTGTTACCGTCTGTATCAGGGAAGTGGAGCATCAAAATGCAAAAGACAAATGACTAAGATTCCTTATGCCTTGGCAGGAGGGGCCTATCGAGCGCCCTTTGGGAATAAAGCTGTAGCATTGCAGGGAAAAGAGCGATTCATGTTCAGCCACACAAATATTTCTTCAGGACATGTGTGCTTGTAATATGCAATTTGAAGTGTTTTTTTTTTTTCTTTAGAGGTATTATTATGAGTATCTACAAGTATTGTAGTAAGAGGATCTTCTTTTAACCTTTCATTTTGTTAGCACTGCTAGTATTTGGTATTAAGTCCACCTTCCTCTCGTTGTCACATATCGGGCTGGGCATGGTCACCAATTCAGTGAATAGGCATTGCTTCACTGGCCTTTAACCCTCGTCATCCTGCTCTGGAGAAAGGTGGTGAAGGCTTACCAGCTTTGTCAATGTGTTCGTGCATCTTGCTGTAGTACAGTCTTTCTCCTGAGTCCTTCAGATGTGTTTTCCTTGAAGTTCACTTAATATTGTGGTTGTGTGGCCCGGCACTGACCCCCCAGGTTGCCCTGTCTACCTGAGGGGTAGTGTGATTGGGGGAATTGCCTCAGAACTGGAAATCAGAAAACCAGTTCTCGATTTGGCACTGTCTGGCTGTGCTACTTCATGAAATCATTGAAACTCACTGGAGCTTGGTTTCCTTACCCGTAAAATAGGGGGTGAGATTAGATCATCTCAAATTTTAAAATGGTAGCCTTCTATTGTGAGGCCTCCAGGCTCTCATTCATCAGTCTGAAAATGACAGTGGACTCTGACTTGAATCATTTAAATAGTCAGCCAGTCTTTTTCTCAGGCTGTAATATGCTTTTCAAATAATTTTGACTTGGAAGAAAATTCTAACCTGCAAGGTATTTGTTCAACATTCAATCTTAGGTTATCCTTTTCTTGTCTTCTCTCATAGGACCCCTAGGCTTCCGGCCTAAGTAGCTTTAAACTTGTATTATTGTTTTGAACTGTTCACATCAAGACCATTCCTACAAATCTGCCAGTAGAAACGTGGTGCATTTTCTTCTCTTTCATCTTTGCTTTAATACTGTTCAGTAGCACTTACAAAGGTTAATTACTCCCTTTTATCCTATCAAATGTTACCCAACAGACTACCTAGTGTAAACTACGGTTTCCTTGGGACCTCACAGGCTCTGTAACGTAGGGACTCAGTTCACCCAGCAGTGGGGATGAAGAGTCAACAGTAGCCCAGTAGCCAAACAATGACTGAACAAGAAGCATCCTGGGCTTGAGTGGGATCCTTCAGAACGTGATTGTGGTGTCTGTGGGGCTGGAGGTTCCACGTTGCTGACTGCATTTGAATTAGAAATCATTTTATACACTTTCTCCCATCATTCTGCATATATTCCCACTCCTGTGTTGGTTCTTAATATTCTCAGCCTCTTCTTTTCTCATTGCTAAGGAACCATCAGTACTTCATCATGGAGCCTCTTCTTACGTACCATTTCTTTCTGACCTTGAGTTGTAGACAGATATTCCATAAACGGTTTCTCTGGCCATGTGGTTCATTAAAATTTCCTTATATAAAATTATTGGCTCCACTGGTTGTGGAAGGGGGAGATTGCACTAATCAACAAGTTCAGCTACTGTTTGTACTGATGAGTAAAGCTGTATTCTAAATTAAAAATTTAAATAATCTTAAAAAGCAAAATGAAGAAAGAGTTATTGTCCATTACTACATCTTGAAATAAAATTAACTTGTCAAGATTGTTTATTACTGGAAATCATCTGGAGAAATCAAGAACTGGGAGTTCAAGGAAATTTCTGTGCTACAAGAAAGGCAGAAGGGAGCAAAACTTTAGCTCTCCAGATGAATCAATTCCCAAACTTTTCCTAAAAGTCTTGATTAAAAAATAACCAACACAGAAATACTGAGCATAACAGGTAGACTGTTATTGAAGCCACTGAGAGCTGCTGGAATTCACTTCAGACGCTTGGTTTTTTGGTCCAGCCTCCCACCACTAGGAAAGGGAAGAGTGACTGATTCCATGTGAGGTAAGCATCTATCACAAAACTGCTATGTTTCTTATCAAGTGAATGACAACTTCCATACATATAATAACCCATATGTCAAAAAATGTTCACTAAGAGTTCTGCTTTCCTTCTCCTTTTGAGGAAAATAATAGCTGTTCGATTGCTCACCAACTCAGAAGGTTCAAACACAACAGTTCATTTCACAGGAGCCACTTCATCATCCTGTGTGCCATGTTGTTTCCACACAGCTGTGAGCAGAACCCACCCTCCTTCCCATGGATGGAAAAGTTATTATTTGTGCACGGTGCCATCTAGTGGCATGCAACACGGTCTACCTGGGGTCAGCTCCAAAGGCACTGAAAGTTGTGTGACAGAATGAGTATCTACCTGGAAGCAGGGTCTTTAGGACACATAGATCCTGGGGATTTTCACGTTGGATCTGTAATAATCTTCTCATGCTTTTTCCACTTAAATCACCCTTCTCAAAACATGTCATTATGATCCTAATACTTCATCATTGATCCATGTCCTAAGTTGCTGGTTTGTAATAGAAACATAAAACCCATGTCTTTGAAAGTTGTCATTTTAACATTTATGATTTCATGGAACTTTGTGTATTTTAAATCATCTTTCTTTCAGTTCCCTGCTATTTACCTTTGGAAATGTGGGAAGCACCCACTTAGAAAGAAATCAGTCTTATAGATGCAAACGCAGTACTGTGTCTAAGGAAGAGAAATTGTGGTTGTTGATGAAGAAGAAAGAAGCTGCTTCTGAATTTGCAAACCTAACAGCAAAGGCTTCCTCCTGTTCTCATTTTATCCTCAAAACACTAATTCACACTTTCTTGGGGACCTAGGAGGAATAAGGCTGGATTCAGAATTGCTGACTGGGCATCCAATGCCGCCAAGCTTGTGTGAGGCGCTCACAGCCAGCAGCCTCTCAGCAACACGTCCCGGTACATACTCACCTGGTTACACAGGGGACCTGTGTCCTCACGCACACATTGCAAGCTCTGCAAGGGCAGGGCATTGTCGGGAGGTTAGCTGCCACATTAAAGTGCATCACATTAGCCATTCTCTAAAAGAGCAGAGCCATTCTTTAGGGAAAAGTCATGGCCAAGTTCAGGGCACTCTGGAATATAGGCATTCAGGAATGGGCTTTAAAAGATTTTTTCTCCTAGAAGCAACGTATATTAAAAACAAACATTCAGAGGTACAATTCAGCCTTTCCCCATCTCCTGGGGAAAAGCAGATGAATCTCATCTTAGGTGTCCTGTTTGTCTCTGCCAGGGACACAGCAGCTGTGCTCTTGGGTCCCTCACAGAACTGCGACCTACACGTTAAGACAGGACCCAGTAAAATAAAGGCACGCTGCCTCTTCAGAACCCACAGGGTCTTGTTCTGGAAGAGTGGCCCCCAGGGCCAGTCAGATGTAAAAGTGTGTGAGGGCCTGCGAGGTTATATAAAGAAGGTAGAGAAGGTTTGTGTTCAGTCTATAAGTTGAATGTGCATTTTCATGTTGCGGAGCAGTATTCTAGAAAAGTCATTAGTTTTGTATAGAGTCCTCAAGGCCCAGCCAAGGGTGGAGAAGAGGAGGAGGAGGGCCACAGAAACAGCCGAGGGGAAGCTGGGCTCTAGCCATCTCCTTTGAGAAGTTTTCGTGAGTCAGAATGGCACTGCTCAAGATCAATTATTTATACAGATGATCACAGCCAATGAGCATTAGATTTTATAGATACAATAAATATTTTTATCAATTATCTCAAGGTAATAACAGTTTTTACCTTTCGAGTGCCTCATAGGACCAGCTATTATACTTTGGTTTTGCTTTTGTATTATTTTTATATTTTTAAATGTACTACACTAATGTTGACTGAAATCCTTAGAACTATCCCTCTGTGCAATGAAATACTGTTTCTTTACCCTAAAAGATCTATTTGTATAATCCGTAGCTGCCAATGATCACTTTGAAAGATTTTCCTTGCATCTTTAATGATTTTTTAATGAAATAAGGAATATGGGAAATAAATATATTGTAACCAATGTTAATTTAAGCTCATGTCCATGCAGGCCAAGTAAATGAAGTCATAATAAGTATTTCCAGGATTGTGAGTGAAAAACTATTTTTGAAAACTGGGGATATGGTCTTGTCTGTCACTGAGTGGATTTTCTCTACAGACTAACAGTGAACTTCTTGATTCCTTCGTCTTGTCAGCCACATGGCTGCTCATGTTTTCAGAAACCTTATGTTGAAGATTTCTCTTCAGAAGAGTTCATGGCTCCAGAATTTCCAGTAGGTATGGCTGCTTCCTCTTCTGATCCCTGGTGGGACAATAATGGACTCGCTCCACCAAGTGTATTGTATGTCTCAGGCCTATTTTCACATTGCTGGAGAAGCATCAACAGGCCAAATGGATAGGCTCTCTACCATGTATGAACACACAAAGACAATTTACAGAGCCTCTGTCCTAGTCCTCTGTACACTCAGGCTCTTCTATATTGAAGGGATCTGTCCAGAGATCTTTAGGTTCCTAAATTGGAAATCCCTGTAGCATATGACAACAGTTGTGGCCCACTCAACCAGCTGCCCACCAGCCATATTACTATATACAAGTTTTTTATCAGACCATTTCAGACTTGTGCTTTGGTACAATTGTAAGGAGCAGGACATAACACTTCAGGGGTCCCTTACAAATAAGCCTATATCCTGTGCCATCCTTAAGTTCCAAAGTCTTCTGATGGAGGTACTATCAGACCTGCTGTGGAACCTGATGATATGGACCAGGGTTGGAAGAACTGGGCTGCAGTTTAGAACATGCACCATACGCAGGTTTCACTGATTAGCACCCCAAGCTCGTGGTGATTAGTTCTTGATCTTTAATCCTCAGCACTATGGAAAGGCAACATCAAAGAATCCTGGCTCGAGCTATGTCCTGGATGTTAAACCTTTTTAAAGACAGCATTAAAGAAACAAATCTACTACCAGTGGAAAATGCCTTTGCCCTTTCATCCTCTCTATGCCTTGGAAAAGAAACAGGACCGTAATCAGAACTTGCTCTTCTCTTAGACTCACGCTTCTATTGGTAGAGATGCCCTCATCCCCCAGAGTGTGTTTAGCCCAGCTGCAGGGAATACCATCACCGTGTGTGTTGGATGTCACAGTGTTGTATGTGTTGCATTTTAATGTTGAGCTGTAGCAAGTTGGTAACCTTCCACTTTGCCCTTTCTAAAGAAGATAACCAATGTTTGTCAGACAAAACTCCCCAGCAGTCTGTAGTGATGAGGCTAGGTCATCCTTGTGCTGTCTTCTTTGGAACAGTTCAACTGCAGAAATGTCTGATTGAGGTTTTGTACTTTGCCATTTTTCTTTTTTAAGCAGAAAACTACCACGTTGGCTTCTTGCATTCGGAACACTTCTTTTGTTGTTGTGGAGTTCCCTCTTGCTGTATCTTCTATGCAATTCCTTTTCTAAAACTCCCTGGCGGAGGTGGTGTGCTCTCTGCGCATCCCGGCCGGCCGGCGCCTTGCTGTGTGGCGGAAGTGAGCGCCCCAGCTCTGGGTGTGCCTCTTTTCTCTCTCTGGCTGCCTCTCCCAACTTTTTCCTGCAGTCCCCTTGGTTTGTAAATTGCCTGCTTTTATTCTGTCAGCCAACATGTACAAAATATAAGAAAGAATTTTTAAACCCGTAATAAATTATATTTATAAGCAATAGAGCATCGCCTCCCTTGATTCTTCTGAACAAAGTCATCCTGCGTGGTAAGAGTTGTTGTGTGTTTTTTCAGTAGGTCAAAGGCCCCCGAATTGTGCATGGGGCAATCATACTTCCTTCAGTGACAGGATAAAGTTTTAGAATGATGTTTCTCCAACACTGCTGCACAGTGAAGTCACATGCCATTTAAAAACCCACACAGTGGTACAGTGCTTGCCTAGCATGCATGAGGCCGTGGGTTCAATTCCCTGCAGCACCAAAAATAAAAATAAAATTCATGCCTGGGGTATAAAGCAGAGATTCAGGCTTAAATGGTTTGGGTGCAGCCTAAGCATCCAGACTGAAAGGTCCCAGTGGGACTGGAGAGCAGGGAGGAGCGGGCATCTCAGAAGATCTGCACTAACATTTTTCTGCAGCTTGGAGGTGGCATCAGGTCCCACCCTCATGGGTCCAGTGTTAAATGAAATCTGCAAACACCTGCTCCATCAGGTAGAAAATCCTGGGTGAGGCCCAGGACCTGCCCAGAGCTGTAGAGAATACCACCAGACCTGCTCAGCGCGGCACAGGACCCTGTCACGCCCTTGCAGGGAGCCAGGGGAAGGCTCAGGTGGGAGGTGCAAAGCAGCCGCTAAGCCAAGCAGCCCTTTGCTAGGTGAGGAGCATCTCCACGGATTCTCAGGTGGGCACCGTGGCCACTGTCTCAGCCCCCCTCTCGCACAGGCTGGAGTAAACAACTGCACCAGCGCTAGGGAAAGGGCCCAGCCTGGGGCTGCAGGACAGTGCCTTCAAACATCCAGGGCTTGGATCACGAACTCCAGTGTTCCTTCAGGACAATGGGAGTAATGAAAATATGTAAACTAGAATCTGGACAGAATCAGTGGGAGGCCTGTGGCTGAAAGGATGAAAATTTGATTAAAAAGCAAACAAAATCTGTACAAAGAACCCATAGAATAACATAGTCTCGGGGGCTGGGGATTTAGCTCAGCGGCAAAAGCGCCTGCCTGGCAAGCGCAAGGTCGTGAGTTCGGTTCCCGGTACCGGAGAAAAACCAAAAAAAAAAAAAAAAAAGAATAACATAGTCTCAACCTGTGATGGGCCCAGTGGTCTATCACGTGGGCTTCAGAGCCTGCCGAGAGCACACCATGCCTAGGAGAGCATGTGAATATCTTCTGAGTGAGGTCAGGACATGGCCCAAAAGAGGAGCCTGTCTCCCAGCCGAGCCCCTAGAGAGTTCCGAGAAGTGGTCTTTCCCAGCATCCATCCCTCCTGCCCATGCGTGGGTGCCACCCTGTAGGCGTATAATGTCTCATAACTTGATCTCACCCTCAGCCTGTCCTTAGTCTTTGCTGTCCCCTGTGAATCTTGATTCTGACCTCAGCACCTATTCCAGTAACATCTAATGCACCGCCTGAACTCCTCAGGATTTGGGCCTCAGCCTTCGACCCTTTCTAGTCCCACAGACCTGCTGCTGGACTGGAGGGTGGGGCAGAACCTGCTTAGCAGAAATAGTTCTCACAGCAGGGGCATCTGGATGTGGTTTCTGTGACAGATGGGATAACCAAGCCTGCCCCTTACAGACCAGCCAACACCAGAAAAAGAGCCGATTTTCCCCAGTTGGGATCTACTACCTGTCTACGCTTGAGTCCTGGAGGACGTCTGGCTTGAACCACAGCACAGAGAATGTTGGGAGACGAGTTCCACCAGCACATCTCTGCGTGTTTTCATGTTGCTTGGTTTATATCCAGGAAAACCAACACGAGAAGAAAAGAGTCATGTTTATGAGCACCCACCATGTGCCGAGGGTGGGCCCCCACCTTACACAGTCATCTCATCGGTTCTTCATGAGAGTCGTATGGGGTGGGGATGGGTGATTTACAGGTGAGAAGATCACATATCAGAGATATTACACTTCTGCAAAATTAGGAAAAGGAGTGAGAGGATCTGTGCTAGCTCTGTCTGAACACTAACAATGAAATGGCTCACGTGGCAGATCACACACAAGTGTTTTGGTCCCTTGAGCGTGTCCACAATGTAATCCCTTCTGCGCTCCCCACACTCCAATAATTCTGGGGTTCCCAAATCTCCAGTGGGTCTTCTCAAACGCAAACCACCCACGTGCACTCTAGAGTACAGAATCCATGCAAAAACAGCCCAGCTCTTCCTTCGCCCTCCAACAGAGAGTTTTCTATGCCTCGGGGTATTTCTGAGTCCAGAGCAGTAGCCTCACCCTCATGAACCCCAGGTACCATGCAGCCAGGAGAGGGAAGGGCATTTCTCATGCCGCTGTGGCTCCGAGATCATCCTCACTCCGCATCAACCCCTCACAGCACACGACACTGAGCCCACATCCCTTCTCTCCTCCCCTGCCTCCCTGTTCTCCTGCGGCCCCCTGCAGAACTGCCCTACAACCTTCCCAAGGCTGCCATCACCCCAGCGCACGCCACACCCACAGAGACATCACAGTCCAACCTGGCCTTTGGCTCCCTCTTCATCACCAACAATCTTGTCCACTCGTTCACGTGCACACACTCCCGATTGCACCGCAGCCCGCCCTGAGCCTCTGTCCTGTGAATCTTGACTCTGACCTCAGCTGTTCTTTCAGCAACCACTAAGGCACCACCCAGACTCGTCAGGATCCCAGCCTTTGACTTCGTTTCTTCCAGTCTGTTAGCTGCCTCCTCGCTTGAGTTCCTGCCCTCCTCCTATCCCTCCACCACACAGCTCTTTGACATGCATAATTATTTTCCACAATGTATTGCCACCTATGACTGAGAAACCCTAACTTTAAATTAGTCCAGTCATTGCACCTATACCTGGGTTGCTGGCAGAAAAGTAAAATCACAGGCTTCTTAGAAGAGGGGCACTATACATCTGTAAGCACCGCAAACAGTGAGAGTTGGGTGCTGACCACACGCTTGGTGCCAAGATTCTTTCATTTTTAGAACAGCTCTGTGTGTTAGACATTAATGTTCCCATCTTCAAAGGGCAGCAACAGTCTGTGAGAGCTCTGAACATGCCCTGGGGCACAGAACCAGAATCAAGCCCGGAGTCACGGTCCAGAGCCAGGCTCCAGGCTACGGGCCACACAGCGGCCAGCTCTCAGCTGGCTGCAGCACTGCCGCACACCAGCCGCCTATTTGCAGAGTGAGCTATAATTTTTTGCAATATACTTGTAAACCTTCTGCACTTCTCTCAAACCACTGACTGTCCTGCCTTTCCTCTTATCTCTGTTTTTGCAGAGAACAGAAGTGAGCACACCATTTCTCCCGCCCTCCCGCCAGAAGACACATCCACACACACATCCACACACACGAACACACACATCCACACACACGCACACACACTTACCTGCGTCCACTGCTCTGCTGTTGCCTCCCGCCTGTTACAATGTGATGTTTTCAAAGACAAAAAGAACAGGCACAAAGAAGCTGACAGTCATGTTTTCTCTATGGGGAGAATGAAACCATTTTATTTAGGGGAATGTTAAAACAAAGCCATATACAATTTGTAACAAATACAATTGTTTGTTCCCTAGTCCTGAATAATTACAGTATATACAAATTCTGTAAGGCACTGCTCCCCAAAAGAACACAAATGACTCTTCTTTTGAGACAAACAACAAATCCCCTATATATTGCCAACTTTTCTCCAAAAAATATAGCATTTTTTGTTCGTTCTGTTTTACAAGAGAAATTATAGTTGCTAAATTAATCACTTTTGATGCCACTCCTCTCATTCCCACCACCGCGGGGCTGTTTTCTGACGAGGTGTAACTACTGAACATGTTCAAGTTTTAAAACTGCCTTCCTCTCTGTGCCTCTTCACCAACAAACAAAGGAGAGCCAGAACAGACCAACAACATAAAACCCCTAATGAATATGCATGATGCTGGAACATGAAATTCAGTCATTAGCGAGCACTCGCTCTACTTGACTACACACCAATTGAAATGTGTCAGAGAATTCCCTGTAAATAAAATCTCAGCATGTTTTCTGAGCTTTCTGTTTGCGAAATTAAAAGAAAAACACAAAACAGTTTCCTGTGGCTTCGGAGCAGCTCTTTCCAGGAGGTCCAAGGCCTGTCTCCTCGTACACACCGTCTGCAGCACTACCCCCCCTATTTAACAATCTGCACACTTTCATAAATAAATATTATGTTTCATTTAGTACTTTATCATCCATAATATTTTACTCTCTAACCCACATAATGGAGTTGTGCCAGACTCCAGACCGGACATAATTAATATTTATATATACATCTATATTTATATAATATATACACACATATATAAGCTCCAACCCCGGACATCTTAGTGTACAAAGTTTACCTAACAACTAATAACATAGGATTCCTTTGGGGAAGAGGAGTTAGAAGAAAGTTTTTGAAATAGTCTGAAAGTAAGCAATCAACTACTTTACTCATTTCCAAGTTCTCACTTGTTCAACTAAAAGACAAAACAAAATAATAAAATTCACGGCTGAGCTGCTGGGCATTTAAAAATCATAAAAGGTTATCAGGAAGTGAGTAGGTAGTCTTTAAGAACATTTTAGTATTACCTAAGTAAAGCAGATTTTTGTAAGACACAGAAAAACTCTCTTCAAAATAAATTCCTGTCTCATCAAAAGACTATACTACGTAAGTGGGTCTTCTAAAGGTATCTTGGGAATAATTTTAAAACTTTCACAGTGAATAAATCAAGTTGGGGATTAGAAGGTAAGCTACCAATTTTCCCCAAAGCAACCAAATAAATAATATTGAATAAATGTGTCTGCTTTTTAAAATTTCCTTTTTTTTTTTACTGGAACCCTAAAAATCGAGTTTATTTTTGAGTCATCACCTTCCTACAAAATACTCAGATTTTAAGTTGCTCATGTTCAAAAACTAACCAGAAAGTAAACGCCATTATATCTAGATGATAAGCCCAACTTCAAACCATGGAAAATGTGAAAAATACCAACATGTGCCCATTTAACCAGTTAAGTGGTATTAATGTTCACTTACTTGTTTTTAGATGATCTGATTAGAGGTACTGAAGTTAATCCAAAAATCTCAGATAATTCTCAGACTGATTTCTTTTTTTTTTTTTTTTTTTTTTTTTTTTTTTTTTTTTTTTCTCTGGTACCAGGAACCGAACTCACGACCTTGCACTTGCCAGGCAGGCGCTTTTGCCGCTGAGCTAAATCCCCAGCCCCTCTCAGACTGATTTCTAACCACATATTCCACCTAAACTATCACAAAGAATATAATCCGACACAAGAGACTTTTACATGGCTACTGAGGCTACTTGAAGATCAGTGAGAACAGTGTTCTGACAACAAGTATATCCATACCCAACTGTTCTCACGCTCAAAGATAATTCCTTTCCAATTCAAAATTCTTTCTTAGTGAAAAACAAAATGTGGCTACGAAGCCCTGGAAGGTCAATGTGTTTCTCACTATGACTTTCCAAACTGTGAGCATGGCTCACACTCCTTGCTCCACGAGGTCTTCTGGATGAGCAAGTTACCAGATGCAAGCTGACTTCAGAAGGGAGGGGAAGATTTTTCTCATTTTCCACCCAGCTGTCCATTTCTCAAAACTGCTCCATCTTGCAGTCACAGGTGCTGAAATGTATTAGGAAACACTGCCCCCTGGAGTATTCTGGAAGGAAGTATCTTTTTCAAAGGCCAGTGGAGAAGTGCTTCCAAATTCCTTATTAAGCACGAAGGAATTTCTAACCAGTAAAGAAGAACCATAGCAAGAAAATGAAATGGATAAAATTGAGAGGAATGTGGATAGCTTTAAACTTCATCATGTACCTACTGCTAGGGAATACCGGGCCTGTCACTGCTTTTACTCATGGTACTCAAAAGTTACAACCCTGGTAAGTAAAGAGATGTTCTGCATAAGTGCCCCAGAGAAGGGAAAATATAAATAGTGAATAGAACATAGGGAGAACCGAATCATTCGCCATTCCTAATGTGTAGATAATCACTTCAGATGTCCACAGTCCATCCCTATTATAGAATAATAAATCATAGCAGCCAGAATACTTCGTGGTCTCCACTACTTTTCTTTGTTATTCTACCTGCAGGTTATATTTGTCTATTTTTCAATGAAAATTCAGCGAAAGTAACCTGACAAATGCCTCCTTCTATCCTTTAACTCAGATACAGAAAAAAAAGGATGGACAATCACAAACCATCCTTATCTATACAATGTAAGGTGTGTATCCTTCTTTCCTGTGTTTCGGAGACCGGCTCCTCTGCAGATGTAAGAAATAGGCTGGCTGTGCCCTCTGCCTCAGCCCCTACCCCACCGGTACGTTCTTCCTAAGCCACGAGAACAGACGAGCACTCTGCTGAAGCATCAGGTCTTTAACGTAACTAATGGCAATTTTATTTAATATTGATCTTCTGATTTGAGGGATCAAAAACATGTGCAGGTCTGTTCTCTGTGCGTAAAAAACAAGCTTTGCTTGTGTTTCATGAAAACAAAGCGATTGTTTTGTGAAAGGACTGCCCAGCAGAACCAGAGACATCCATGTGCTCTGAAGAACACCCCTCCGCACTGAAGGGGAGTCACACAACCTTCGCGCACTGAGCTCTGTCTGCAGCTGCAAAGGCCATTTGAGACACTCCGAAGCGTGGTCCCAGACAGGAACTTGTCCCCAGGTGCGTTCAAACTGTGAGGCAGCCCCAGAGGCAAGGGCTCAGGTGGTGTGAGGAGGCTGGGGCAGCCGTGCTGGAGCTCAGCTCCAGTCTCTGTTCAACTTCCCAGACCCTCTTGCGTTAGCCAGGTGCAACAAGATTTTACCAATGGAAAAATGTATCTTAATTTACCTTCCAACACAGTTTCTGGGAAGAAATTTTGTTGTAATTCTTTAAACTATAATAGTATAAACCTTGAAATGTCTACAATATTTATTTTGGCAAAATTAAAGCATCTTTTTTAAAAAAGGGCAATCCCAAAATCCAGGGCTTTCCTAGAAAGCAACATGCATATCTTGAACAAGTCACCGAAGGTCTCCCTCCTACAACAGACCTGGTGAATCTGCCTGCAGGAGCTCCTGGCTCGGCCCGGCTGCTTCCCGAGAGGCAGGTAAGGTCTGAGACCATGGAAGAGGAAGAGGACAGCGCTGAAGGCTGGTACTGAAGATGCCTTCACACCGTGTACTCCGCTGCGCGCAGCGGAGCATCCACCGCCTTCACCGGAGGTGTGTCCTGCCCTCTCCATCAGAGCTTAATGTCCTGAGACTCTGACATTTTGGCAAGTGTTTTCTTCACACGCAGGGCCGTCAGCCTGGATGCAGGGTTGTGAGCCCAGCACTCTGTCATGAGCTTCCCCATCTGCCTGAGACACTGCGAGAGGAAAGCAACATTGGAGCCACGTCAGAGAAAAGCATGGAACTGTAAGGCTGGTACTGACATTTGGCTTTTAGTTTTGGGCCTATAAATCGAAATATATTTTCTAAAGGCACCCTTAAAACCACATAAAAATGCAACTCCATAAAAATTCTTTCTCATGTAAAATAATGACTCAGATTTTCATGTCTTCTTTTTGACAGAAGAAAGTAGGTGTTTTTACTGATTGTAGAAGAGTGTCTTTGAAAACAGTATTAAAATATAAAAATACTCAGGGAATCTGTATTCTGCTCAGTGCTCTCAGATTTCTAACACTCGATAAGTTTAAATATTTTATCTAATTCCATACTATTCAAACACACACGGTTATTTTTAAATCATAGCTGTCTACTACAATATTAGAATCACACTGTACCACTTAACAAGATTAATGACCTGCACACAGCATTGCTGAAACTTTCTTCTGTGGTACATCAATTACTGGTCTTGTTGAAAAGCACAATTTCACTTCATTCAAAATTCTCACTGAAGGGATTCCAAATAATACTGACAGCCACAACCACCTTCAAAATACTGTAACTCCAGCATCAAGTAATATTTCCTGCACAGCTCTTTGGAAAACATGTATATTACTTACCCTTTCAGTATTGTGATACAAAAACCAATGAGCCCAAAGTCATTTTAGATGAATTTTACACTAAATAATTAGCTTATAAGTAGTGAATTGTGTTCTGCCCATTTGTCTGCACTGGGCTTGGTGCATGCTTGATAAGAGTATTTTTTTTTTCCTTTTTCGGACTATGCTTCAAGCTCCTCTTGAATGTAACAGCCTCTCAGAGAACTCCAGGCCTTGAGGGAGCTTGAGGGCACAGTGGTGGGAAGAGAGGTACAGGAACCCGAGGCCGAAGCAGAAAGCGTATGGCCACCAAGTTACTTTGTCCTTCCTGGCAGCTCCCTTCCGACATACTTGGTTTTCACTGCCAAATCCTTAGAGCCAAGCTGAGCATGATTTTGCTTAAATCACTTCTCATTGCCCTTATTAACAAGGACATGCAGTGCAGTCAAGGTAGCTCAGCTAGGTTGACTTGTATCACTGAACTGCATAGAAAACTCAGTTCTGCAGATGCCTTTTTCTCTTATCAAAAGGGCTTTATTATGGAGAAAAAAAAATGATGGTTTGAAACCACACAGAGGAAGAAATAATAGCTCTCACACAAACTGTAAGACTTCTCCGCAAAGGGAACAGTGTTATCCGTTATGCAGCCTCACTGCTGACTCAGCATTATATTCTGGATAAAATTGGCAAAATAAAATTGGAAGAAAGGAAGAATGTTCTGACACACTGCACACAGCTCCACACAAAATACTGCAATGAGGCAATACTACTGTCACCATCAAAACAAAGGCAAATTTCAATAATGAATATTTTCAATTCTGGCAGAAGAGAAGTTGGTTTAGAGGTCAGCGGTAGCCACGTGGTTACCTGGCGTCCTACCTCATCACTGCTCCACCGGTTGGGAAACGAGGGCCGCAGCTTCTTGATACACACAATCTCCCTCATGTCCTCGTAAGAGGGGTCGCTGGGCACCAGCTCATGGTAGGGAAGCTGGTATTCTTCCACAATCCCTGAAAATATGTTGTCGCTGTTATTATTTTCTGTGAAGTGGGGGAAAAAAGCCTAACTCAAAACTTTTGTCAAGGGAAACCACTATTGATATTAAAGACAAGCTCAGACCAACAAAGTAAATCTTGAACACATTTACCCAATGGTGCTTAATCTAATTTAGAAAAAGAGAATAGAAAAGTTAATGAAAAATATTATCATAGGTCTCCAAGCCTTTTTTCTAATTTCTAAAACTTAAGTAAAATAAGCATCTCATTTATTTCTAATTTTATAAAGATCAAAATTAAAAATAATCCATATTAAATCTCAGTGCAGATTTGGGAGATGATTCAGAATCCATACTGCATAACACATGACTATTCTATTTCTGTACTATGAGATCACAAATATCACGGTAAGTTTAGAAATGGATCCTACTTGAACAAAATGTCAGTTTACATGTTTTAGAATGTAAGAATGATTTTTGAAAATTACATACCCCCCAAAATATTAACCACGGTTTTCTCAGGTTTGAAGACTGTCTGAATTTTATTTTCTTCTTTACATGTTTTGTATTAAACTGTATTTCATTCCATCTCTGCTCCTAGTTAATTTCTATTTTTTCCTCCTGCACTGCACACAAGAAGGTGACCTGTGCTTCTGAGGAACTCCTAACAATAACTCTGTCTCTGCACACGAGATGCTGCTGCTCTGAGCCGCTTTCCAGAACACCCTTGGCTCCCACCATCAATCAGCTGTTACAGAAACGGTATTGCTTTTCACCAGAAAATGATGAGACCATCAAGTTGCCACATGATACACCACATCACCAAATTCACTACAGGGCTGCTCTGGCAAACTCTGGGGTCTGTACCGTGCTCTTTCTTGTAGACTCAAACTCACATAAAATCACAAAAGATGAGAAGGTTCAAAAGTTTTCCTAGAACGTTCCACCTGACTATCAGAAAATCATTTTTAGTCCTTACGATGACCACAGAGCACATCAGCGTGCACTAAGTTCACATTCACTTCCACTGGGCTCCATGATGATCTCAGCACATGGAATAATAAATGCACAGGGCCTGACGCACACGAGCCCTCACTTGGTTTCAGTTCTTCTTTTCTTTCCAACTCGCAAAAGGTAGAACATCTTGAGGGCTCAGATCTCATCTATTTAATTCATCTAATATTCTCCCCAGGGGCTAATGTTAGTGTCATTAATGGACTGATGGATAGACAGTGAGGCAAGGTATAAACTACAACAGATATGGGCACAGCCAACCACATAAAATTATAAATTAATCAAATTTTGGCTTTCAATGATAGCCCTTACTCATTTCTCCTTATTATATGTTATGGCTTGTGTCTAGATGTCCCCCCCAAACCTCATCCAGTCATAGGTGGGGCTTTTCTGAGATGGCTGCACCTAGAGTGTGTGGTGCTGGGACCAAGGGTGTGTGATGACTAAATCAGTCCACTGATTGGTTTGGCACAGTTCTGGCTACGATTAAAGGTGTGAGTGCTACACCTGCCCTAGGGCGGGTAGCCTGCATTAACAGACAGAAACAGGGCAAGTGGGACAAACGTGGGGCAAAGTCCTTGTAGAGTTTAAAATGGTCATTAGGAGGTATGATAATAGCATCAAGTTTTTTAATGAGCACAACAATGAGCATAATAATAATAATAATAATAATAATAATAATAATAATAAATATGATGGGTATATTCTGTGCTCAATACAGAGAAGTCTAACATTCAGCTTCTTGAGTAAAAGAAGTTGGAACCTTCTAGAAGACAGATTATGAAGGTGGTACTATCAAAATAGTATAAGCAATAATATTTTGGAATATTTAAGGACATCTTATTGATTATACTTGGTATTATCAGGGAATTCTTATGCTTATAGAAAAATTATCATGAGGAATAAAAATAATCTGATGCCTGAATTTCCTTTTGATAAAAACTGATGCGTTAAAAGTGCTTTATGAGGAAGTTCTTCAGAGAGTAGTGAAGTAGGGGAGGCAAGGAACAAGGGTGTGCATCCACATTTATGTCTCTATGGTCATCTGTGCAGAGGAAATATCAAAAGAATGGGTACAGTGGTTGAAGTTGGGCCAGCAGGGAGGTAAGAAGATGTTGGAAGGGGAGGAAGTGGGTTGATCTGACGGAGCAACTGCAGAAGGAAGAGCCCAAACAGAAATGAGATGATATACACCAGCAGAGGGTGATCTTGAAACAGTAGGGGAGTTGACAGTGCGTCTGGACGCAGTTCTTAAGCAACAGGTAGAGGGAAGGAAGTAGTCAAAGATTACCGTAATATGTCAAATATTTCCTGGAAGGGTTATAACTGCATTAGCAGAAATAAAGAGGAAAATAAAGGAAATTTTGATTCTGTAAACAATATGATACCTTTGATTTATGATCAGAAAGAAAGGGTTTGCAGTGCTTCTCACGTTATCTTTTCAAAGATGGCGCAGTTCTTACCTCCGGAAACACACCTTCTAGCAACCTCCCAGAGGATGAGTCCAAAGCTGTACATGTCCGCCATGATGTAGGACTGAAAGTGGTTTCTGTTCAAGCTCTCATCCAGAACTTCTGGAGGCATATAGCGCTTGGTGCCGACCCGCGTGTTGGGCGGTATGTCTACTTCATTCGTGTCACTAAAGAAAGAGCAAACAAAGCATTATCAGTATTTGAGAGGACAAACAAATGATGACTTGAGATGATTCTTCAAGGGCTTTAGAGGAAAGTGGAAAACAAAACCCTTTCAGGGAACAAAGACCTTTCCTCAAAATATAATTCAAAATATTCACAGGTAAAACCCAGTGTAGATGAGACTAAACCAGAAGTTGTAACATGTAAAATTTCATATTACTGGATCAAACTTATACTCTATCATCCCCTTATATTTTAAGAGACAAAATGGGTTTTTGTTTTTTTTTTTTTTCAGTCCTGGAAAGTGAGCCCAGATAGGTAATGTACTACCACTGTTATGACTAGCCCAAAAGAGTATTTTCAGTCTAGGCATTATAAAGCTTTTATATCTAGATATAAGTAGTAAAAAGAAAAAGAACCAACAAAGAGTTCTAAATATTTTATTAAACAACAAAGCACATATAAAAATACTTTCCATCATCAATAATGTTCCATGACCCAAATGGCCTTTAGTTTTTTAAAAAGGAACAGAGGAACAATGGAATGTAGTGTCTCTAGCTTACTTCACAATGTAGGCGATCTAGTACTACACTCCATAGACTGGGAGGAGATGGGGACCGAGGGGCAGCTGACTGCAGACAGCCCCGCCCACCTCAGCACAGTGAGGTGGGGCCAGAGTTCTGAGGTCAGGTTTTGAAACTGTGGAACTACTGAGCTGACAGTTAAGGAAGACATGTAAAACTCCCATCCACACAGCATCAGGCATGTGTTTGATGCTTAATCAGCACTGTAAACATCAAAAAGTGAAGTAACTAAGAAGAAACGCAACAACCCCCACATGGGACAGATGTGAAACTATAAAACAGAAAAATCTGAAACCTCACTATTAAGCTAAAGATTATGGAAAATGGCTACACTTCTGTATCTCATGATTCCCAAGAATATATTTTTTTTCCCACCATACTCTGTTGCCTCTCAAACATTAACATGCCATTTCTCAACACAGGAAGCAGATTTGTGTATTGAACATCACTTGTATTATGCTTACCACATATAATCAGTATCAAATTTTCCAAAACACTAGTAGATTCTTGGAAAAAAACAAACAAACACTGGTTTGATCTTATTTTCTCATTCTCTACTAGAGCATAAAACATGCAGTGTCCTTTGGGAAAACTCAAGATGTGGCAGATGACCCTCTGCATATCTCAAGGTGGTTTACATTCACTAAGACATAAAGATAAAGCTTCAGTTTTAGAACATTTTAGAATTCATCTCCAGCTAAAAACCCTAAGTAAAACTATTTTGACAGACATATCATCAACATACTCAGAAGCATTCTGCGGTTTTCTAGGCGTAACAAAGAGTTTATTTCTCTAAAATAAAAGCCAATGTGTAAAAAAAAAAAAAAAATCTAAACAGCAGGTATTCCACACTATCTGCAAAGACAGGAGGACTTCAGAGCCCTGGGCACTTTCCTAAGACCAGGAAAAGATGTTACAACATTAATGTTCAGTACTGACAAGGAGACATGCCTTACATCATAGATGGTAAGGGGAGGCCAGTGTGCTGAGGAGAAGCTTAATGATAAACTAGGAAAACATCAGGCTGGAGAGACGTGCAAAGCTCCACCATGGGTTGTAGCTTCTCTTTCCGCTCTTCCTGCTCACTCCGCTCAGCACACAGTGGCTATCTCATTAATGAGTATGCCATAATTTGTAATCAGTAGAGGAAGACAGTGGTGACTTCAGGTAAGGAATTTTGGGCTCTAGGCAGATAAAGCAAACCTATGAATTTACAAATGGAAAGAGGACATTTAAGGGTCTGAATTACATTACAGAACATATATGGAGGAAAGAAACCAAGGTTACATTTAGAAAGACAAAAGATATACTCTGGCCATCAGCGAGAAAGGTTTTGGCAATTCTATTCCTACTCTTTTTGTCTTAAAAGAAAAACAGCACATAGGCCATAAGTTTACCACCCAGGTCATCTCCAAACTCTTTTGCTCTAACCAGTGCAAGAGAGTTAGGGTTAGAGAACTCTTTTTCCTTCTTTTATATTGATTTGGGAACTCAGGAAGTGCGAACAGGATATGTGATGTGGAGAAATCCATGGAAAATTGAAAAGTGATCCCTAGTGACAGAATAAAGGTTTGTGAATGCTAAGCTATACATAGGGCAATGATGGCGAACCTTTTCAAGACAAGGTTTTTATAGGAAAATGGACACAACTAGAGACTATACTCATAAGTGAAATAAATTAGACTCGCATGCGTAAACACCATACTGTCTCACTAGTGTAAGAACTTGAAAGAGTGAATAAAATCTAGGACGTACAGTAGACATTGTGAAAGGGAAGGAAACTGCTCAAAAGGAAAGAACAACTGGGATGAGGGAAAAGAGAAAAAAAGAAGGGGAAAAATATGTGTATACGTATACACAGGATAGCTAACATGATTGCACTACTGACTTTTATTGCTCTATTCAAAGGAACAGTTAACGTTTAAGTGTGTGATCAATCTTACATGTCTATATTTGTTTATCTGAGTAACCAAATTGAAGATATCAATATGTAATACAACAACCACTGTTAATTTCCTGTTACCTTGTCTGAGAGTCTGTATTGCTTGTGTTGTTTTTGTGTCATTTTGTAAGTGTCTGTGTGTTTGTTAATATGTTCTTTTATCTTTAAAATCAAAAAAAGATGAGTGCTCAAAGTACAACCCAAACCCATTTGTTTATCACAAAGTGCCAGCACTGCAATTAAGCCCAAATACTGAGGCTTTAGTTTAGAAAAAGCAATGTGTGAACATTAACATCTTTTGTCTTAAAAGAAAAACAACACACAGGCCATAAGTTTACCACCCCGGTCATCTCCAAACTCTTGTTCTAACCACTGCAAGAGAGTTGGGGCTATAGAATTCCTTTTCTCTATTATCATGGATTGTGAAGTTCCATCAAATGCAGAAAACCCGTTCCACCATCAAATGCAGAAAACCTGCTCCACCACCACTCAAGCTCAGCACTGCAATTCCTCCTCCCCTTTCTCACACCCGAGGTATTTTTCCAGGTGGCAGTACAATAATATCCCCGCTAGGAGTATCTGGTATCTGAATATATAATTTCCTTATTAGTATTTAAATAAATATGTATCTGTCTCCCTAGTTAATCCCCTGGAGCCCCAAGTATCTGTGATAATCATTGGATATGTCCCTAAGGATGACAGCCTAATCCATCTCCACTCAAAGTGTGTCTTACACATGGCAGGAAAATAATCTACTCTAACTAAAAGAAGGAAAAGCCTCATTTACAGTCATCTTTCCAATGGATAATTCACAGAGAAATGCAAAAATCTCTGTTATATGAAAGCCATAAAATGAGAGATTATCAATATCTGTGAAGATAAATAGTATTTGGTGGAGCAAATTAATTTTGCTAAAGATTGCTATTCACCTAATGGCCAATGCCTTTGGCACTACATTTAAAGGCAAACACACTAACTGTAAGCAATTCGTGTCTGACTCTGTAATGCATCAGCTTCTGAAAGCCACTACTCTGCCCCTTCCTCCTAGGTGTGTTTCTGCACATGAGGGTAATTCAGCTACATTTCTTCCTTAGGTTTCCATGACACCATTCCACATGTGCTCAAATACTGTAATGGAGAAAAAGAGTCTGTGTTCATACTCAAGGCCCAAAATGGAAATGAAATTGATTTAACACTAGGGCATCAATGATGAAGGCAGAAAAGAGAAAGTTCAGTCACTTGGTGTCATATGTTTAAGAACAGGGCACAGGGTAACAGAAGGAAAAGTCAGGGGGAAAGAAGGAGACAGAAAGGCCAGGGTGCCTTCAGCCTCTTCTGGCCCCTCTTGCCTCGGGGCAGAGTGGACAGCTGAGAATCAGGTTGGCAAGAGAAGATGTGCATTGAAGAAAGGGCGGAGAGGCGGAAAAGTAACCCCGAGCCTCCAGTAACTCTGCAGTCAGACCTAAAATCCTACACGGAAAATATAAACACGATACTGGTTACCTCTGGGAGGGATAAAAGGGAATAAAATAGGAAAACAAATGCAACAGAGCTATTTTAAATATTTTCTTTCTTTTAAAAAGACCAGGAAGAAAGGGCAAACTGTTAACATTTGTTAATATTGAATGATTACATAACTGTCTTTTAAAAATACTTTCCTGTATATCATAAATACAGATCCTAAAACACAAATACATATTGTGGTGTGTGTGTGTTGTGTGTAAAGAACCCAATAGGATCAGGAACTAAAAATGCACATTTTAAGTACTAAGAGAGAGGGTATAGGCAGAAGGTCCTAAAGACCCAAAGTCATCTATAAATTGGACGAATTTACAGAAAAGATGAGTTTTGACGAAGGAGAGCTGAGAGTTTCCTGTTAGAAATGTGGGTGCTGCACTAAATGCAGAGGAGACAGGACCTTTCTCCTTTCCCACGAGGCAGGGTCAGAGCTCTCTACACAGAGGAGTCAGGACTGTAGGCAGGGTTCAAAGAATTACAGGAGTGGATAAATTTACCCAGTTTTACTTCTACAATCAATATTTCCATTAGACTCAACAGAGCTTTTGCTCCTGTTAACATGATACCAATGAGATGCACACATTTGGGTAGGCTTGGAAGGAAATAAAAATAAATAATTTGAATAACACAAGGGATGTCATATAAATTCTCTCCAGGAAAAAGCTTTCTTTGTTGTAGAATCATACTTCCACAGATATTTTCTTCATAAAAGTAAAGCACAGTAGGGTTTGAACAGGATAAAATGAAAATATATACAGTTTCTTAGGTAACAAAAAAATCCCCAATAAGGATAGGGATGTGAGGCCATCAGCCAGGGAGAAGACGGGTCCTCCCTGTTTTCCCAAGATCATGAGATGCTAAGATAGAGAACAATCAGGTACAAGACCTGGTGCATGCATGTCAGGACTAAATTTTATGCAACGTAACTCCCAGTAAAGGTGCCCTCGGCTAGTGGTAGTTTAGCAAAAAAAAAAAAAAAAAAAAAAAGTCAGCAACTACATTATGAGGAAAGTGTATCACGTATGTGAGAAATATAGGACTGCTGTGCCAGAGGAAACGAGCTCCTTCGGATTCCCACCTGTGCTGTGAATAATGCTCAACTCCCTACAGCACTAGGCAGGAATGGGATGTTAATGTCGAATTGTGTTTGAATCTCAACACACAGGGCTGCCATGAGGCAGCAATACTTCAAAGAGGCAGGGAAATTAAGCTCCTATTTCTGACCAAGATCACTTGTGGCAATAAAGTACACCATCATGATGGAATAAGAGAGCTACACTGATAACCAAAGAGCTTCCTCCAGTGTGGACTTTGAGCGGCTCTTCCAACCCAGGGTGGACAGAAAGGGAGTAAGTTCTCCGGGCCATGCTCGGTGCAAGGGAGGGAACAAAGGAGAGCACTTGGACACTATGCAGGGGCACGACAACGCAGGGCTGGAGCATAGGAAAGGTAGGCTAGCATCAAGACTCAAAGTTCTCCTCCTGTCCACAGGTGCCAGGCAGACACACTAAGGAGAGGATGACAGGTGTGCAGCACTCCCAGGGCAGAGGTCCCACCCTGACCTCTTCTGGGGCATCAGTACACAGGGCCAAGCCGAACATTAACATGTTTGTTGCTTCAAGTGAACTCGGCCCAGTCAAATGCTCGCCAGTGAGGAGAGTTGTATAGTTCTTTTCACTGAAGTTCAATGCTTCCATACCTAAATCTCAAGAAATCTTAGGTTTCTCAGAAATAGGACTTTACAACTAACATCTCTTCCATAGAAGGTGGATTTGGCTGCAGAGTCCTTGCTGCTAACGAGCTGAGCTCTGTGACTTCGGCCAAGTCAAAGCCATGCCACTTTTAAAAACAAAACGACCTGGGGAGTAAATAAGGCGAAAGTGGGGCTGAAGGTAACCACACTGGAAGGGCTCAGGAAATTCAGAGCGCCGGGCCACCCATCTCCTTTGCACTTGGACAATCTGACAATCATCAATCAGCAGATGGTGCAACAGTCTAGTCTTCACTGTAGGTTTCCCTACTTAACATTTAATCCCAGAAAGGCAGGGCCGGGGTTTATTTTCCCCCAGGCAAGTATTTTATTCTGACACTGAAGTACCAGGGGGGCTGCTTGATCTTTCAGTGTGAAAAGTGAAAAGCTGCACATGGGCCTTCAAAGCATTTCACACGTCACTGTCTTCTCTTCCCTAGGGAGAGGCGGGGTGATGTAACATCTGCCAGGCACTGCCCAATTGCAGTTGAATTGCAGTTGAGCAGGAAACACGTTGGCACTTACATCATTTTCAGAGTGCAGGGAGAAACCAAGGCAAGGCAAAAACTTCACACAGGCAGGAAATCTCTGAGGCACCATCTTAGTACTCTGTCACTCTGTCTGTCTCTCTCTGACTCAGTTTCCCTGGGAACCTCCCAGAAATAACTTAAAGGCCTAAAAGAACAGTTAGCACCATGTAGACACTGAGGAAAAGACAAAGTTCTCACACGATGTTCACCTCTGAAGTCTGAAAATTCAGCACTGCTTGCTATGCATCCACCACTTGGGATAAAACACACTCTAAACAGTGCAGCCACATGCACAATATGCACAATATGCAACAGTCAGGCAAAGAGTGAAAACTAAAGACACAGCAACATCATTTAAAAGCTAGGCTAAAAACCAGGAAGTACAAACCTTGAAATATAGGGAAGAAAAATACGAAATGGACCTTTGACATTGTCAAATGTAACTGCCATTTAATGGAATAGGAAATAGGCTGAAAGATGAATGTCCGCCAGCTGGTCTGCAGCTAGGGAGTGTGTGCAGACAACCAACGTCCGAGCCACCATCTCCTCTCTTCCCTACCTGGACCAATGGCCAGTATCACCAATTATCCCTTAAAAGAATCCCCTCCACTTCCTACAACATGGGTCTACCTAAAATTTGGGAGGCTAAGTTTCAGAAATATAATGCTCTTTGTTGTAAGACCTGTAGAGAAGATGGGTCTCAATTACTTTGCTATTGCTGACATTTATTTATTAAAAACAATACAGAAATACAATGAGGGACTCACTATGTCAAGTCAAATGGGAAATACATTACTAAATCTGGCACGAATCCTGTGTGACAGGGAACACAGGAGTGGATCCAGTGGAGGGATTCGGTGGAGGCCACTGAAGGCACATCAGAAACAGAGGGAAAAGCCGGACGTGAAGACAAGGGTGGGCAGGAAGATGAGGCACTGGAAACCAAGATGGCGCCTCTTTCAACACAGCAGTGCCAGGAGAGGGGGAGAGAAGCCACACTCGAAGACACTGCAAACGACCAGGCTGGAAGAACAGCTTACCCTCTGCAGCTCTAATGGGATTTCACAAGAGTGGAGGAAGAAGCTGCTAATCTGAGGAACAGCGTGGTTTTCTGAGGTAGAGATTTGATAAGGGAGGCAGATCATTTAAAGAAAGGAACTTGAAAGGGAAAAGGAGTTTAACCATCTTTATTGGCAAGAAGTTTATGCTCTCTAATTTAAATATATAGAGCAAATCATTTCTTTTTGCTTTGCTTTTAAAGATCAAGAACTTCAATTTGCCATCTTCTAAATGGTGAAGACTCATATATTTGGGGCACACTATTAAATCGCACGGCAGCCTTTACCTGCAGAGTAAAATACCAACTCAACAGTCTTTTCTGGGGAGTTTTGTTTTGCAAACATTGAATCCTCTCCAGGACTTCTCCCTTGTGCCCTTCTCTGTGTGCTACAGAGTTCTCAGTAGGAAAAATCCAAAGCCTAAATTGAGTTTTATAAAGCCGTAGTTCTATTTTGATATGGAGGTCATTCACAAACTCATTTTGTACATTTTGTTTTCAGAATAGAGGTACTTTTCCTCTAACTAAATCACGATGGAGATAAAAGGAGCTACTCTGCTTAAAATGAAGGCAAGTAAAATCAAGTCCAGCCACGGGCTCGTCCGGTCCTCATTTCGAGGAAGCTATGAATGTCACCTCAGTGCCCACAGGAGTCTGAAAACATCAGCACTTTCTCATCTGTGGCCCAGGTGCTCCAGTCACTGTTTAACCCACAGTACAGTACTGCTGGATACTGGCTGTGTTTTACAAGTTTCTGACATTTCTCATAAAACACCTATGCGAGCTCTCTCTCTGATGCCACACAGGTAACAATGTCTATGCAACTGACAGCACTTCCACGAATCTTTTCCTATCTTCATGCATTGCACAGAATTCCAACCACGGGTTCCCAGGCATTCGCCACCTCTTTTCTATACAGCTTCCTATCAGCTGCAAACCCAACATGAAGTCTCTGTGCCAGGTCACTGCGGAGCACAAGAGCACGGAGTTAAACACACTGTGTGACAGGGAAAATGTTTGCTGGCAGTTTTCCTTTCTAAGAAGTTGAAATGAACAGAATTCCTCATCTACGAAATATATCCTAGAAGCACCAAGCTACAGGATGTACACAGCATCTTCCCAAAGTGAATGAGAGGAATTTTAGGGCGCACACTTGTTCATTCTGATACTAACCTAATAAATTTAACAGCCAGGCCCAGGTCAGCTATACAGCAAGTTCCATTTTTCTTCACCAGAATGTTCTTGCTTTTCAGATCTCGGTGGGCGATCGCCGGTTTGCCTTGAGTACTAAAGATTTCAGTGTGTAAGTGGCACAGGCCACTAACGGAGGAGTAGGCTAATTTTAGCATCGATTTAGTGTCGAGGGTGGTGGACTTCAAATAATCATAAAGAGAACCATTTTCATGGTAGTCTGTGATGAGGTACAGCTGGGTCCAGGACCCTGTCCCTTTGATATCTGCAGCAATGAACCCTAAAAACACAAAAGACAAAAGGGATGGAGGCATTATTAAAATGTACTCAGAAACAATTCATGCTTTCAAGTACCATTCTTTGTCTATAGCTGTCTCCGGTTTAGTATTTCACCTGGTTTCCTCATTATGCCTACAATGGTGGTAAGTTATGAATGCTGACCAGTGGTCATCAGAATTGTAGGGATAGAGAAAGATTAAAAATTTGTATCTGCAAATACAACCTCCTTCTGATCAGCAATTGATATACAAATTCTTTTACGGTATTACAGGTACAGGTAAGTGCTGTTTATAAAACAGTTTTGCCTTAAGGCAAACACATCACTGATTAGCATCTACCCCTTCTTGAATGACCCAGATAGATCCTGACTAGCCTGAAAAAATGAGAGGTAAATCAATTCTCAACACAAACTTTTGATATAAATAAACCCTATGGATAAAATGCTTCTAACTATATAAACATTTAAACAAAACTATGCTCCTTCAAATCTCTAAGAAAGCCTTAGACATTCTGGTATTACATGTGCAATTCCTGTTTCTGAAGAAAACTCATCTGAGAGTATCCCATGTCCAGCCCACTGTCCACTCGCTGAGGTGCCTCATTCACCTCTCCTGTTCGGTCTCCCACTCTAAGCGTATGAGGCTCTTGGACCAATACCAAGAAGAAAATTTCTGTGTGTTTCAGAACGGGTCTAGACAGATGACTTAATATGGAGATGTCAACAGAAAAACAGAGGAAAGCTAGAAAACTCCAAACATCACCACACAGACTTTTACTCACCCAGAATGTTTTCATGCCTCATCAGCACTGTCTGATATATTTCTGTCTCTCGGAACCAGCTGGCTTCCTCCGTGGTGAAGAATACTTTCACAGCTACCTTTTCTCCACGCCACTTTCCCATCCAGACTTCTCCATAGCGACCTTTTCCAATCTGCTTCACCATCTGAATCTGCTTCGCTATTGTTCTTTGGACCTGTTAAATCCCAAAACACTCTGTCAGTGTAGTCACAGCACTGCAGATCTGTTAAATCTTTTCTTTCCCCTCTGGAGAAGAAACAATTAATGAATATAAAATATATTTAGTGAGCAATTTTCTTTATGTAGACAAGTTATTTATATTTATTAATTATGCTGTTCTCTTTCAAACGTATCTGAGACTAGGGATTCTGATTGCTTGAAATACTGTTTCCAAATTAGCAAACATTTCATTTTACCTATTATAATTTAGATAAAGGATGAATCTGAATAGATATCCAGTACTTGACAGAAGAGAATACTCTCACTCTCACAACTATAATGGGTTATTAGATACTCTCAAAGAACTTTGCCACCATATAATTAATCATGGACACAATAAAAGAAACAAAAGTGTAATGCACTACTGTGCACACAAGGAGATAAACTCTCCAAGCAAGGAAAAAAAAAGGAGAAAGGGAAGAAAAGAAGGGAAAGAGAAAAAAATTGGGGAGGAGAAAGGGAAAGATTTGAGACAAGAGCAGGGAATGATAATCATTAAATGTGTATAAAAGGCAGGTGTACCTAGGTGAGAATAATATCTGCATGACTAAACTCTGACCCCTTTAAAACTAGAAGAATTTAACCTAATGTTTTGACATTAAGCTGGTACTATTACATAGTACTAAATTGGTGCTAGGTTGGTAGCATGCCATGCCTCTTGGTGAAAACAAATTACAAATCTTTTGCTGAAGAAATCTCTTATAGTATACTTTTTGTTATGGTTTGTGTTTAGATGTCCCCTTAAAGCCTCATGTGGTCACAGGTAGGGCTTTTTTTGAGGTGGCTGGATCTAGAGTATATGACATCTAGTGCAATGCCAAGGATCAAGGGCAGTAGGATTAAGGGTATGAATGCTACCGCCCTAGGTAGAGTAGATAAGATATAAGGAATAGAAAGAGCTGTTGTTGTCCCATTGCTTTGGTATCTTCTGCCCACCATGAATTGTTTCTCCTCTATGGGGTCCCTCTGCCATGCTGCCTTGGAGCCAGCGAACTATGAACTGAAACCTCTACACACTGTGTGCTATATAAACCCTTCCTCCTTAACTGTGGGTGTTGGGTATTTTCTCCCAGCAATGAGAAGACTAATACAGAATTTGGTAACAGATAAGTGGAGTTGCTGCTGCGACTGTATCTGACCATGTGGTTTAAGAGCCTTTGGAGCTGGCTTGTGGGAAGGACGAGAGTTAGGCAAGGTTTGGAGATGCTAGTTTAAAAAGAGCTGGAATGCCCTAGGCTGCTCCACATGGAGTTTCTGGTCAGAGGTCAGAAGACCAGGAGGCTGACAGAAATCCTGCCAGTAAAGACTAGGTTCAGGTTTCTTCTGGGAAGAAGGACTGCACTGGCTGGTGGACTCCAGACAATGTGCGCTATGGCTTCGTAGAAAGTTTGTCTGCATTTTGTTCATGTCCAGAGACTTTGCCTGAGACTAAGGATGATGGACTAATTAATCTTGCAGAAGAAATTTCAAGTCAGCCTAATGCTGAGGCAGTGGCATGGCTATTGTGGGGGGCTTTTAGCCAGATCTGTATTGAGAATCAAGAGCAAAGAATGATTGACCAACAGAATGATTTAAAATGCTGTGAGTTTGGCCAGAAAGGAAGCTCCAGTAAAGCTGAGGACTGGAAAGATAAAAGAGAGGAGATCTCGATTGCTGAGAAGGAACGGGAGGATAGAAAAGATGATCTAAGGTCATCACAAGTAGCAGCAGGACTCCACCCTTTGCAGCCTCAAAATTACAAAAGTGAAAGACTTTGATTTAAGAAGAGAGCCCCAGAGCACCATGTTCCAGAATGGTGGTGTCTTAGAGAATTTGTTCCTTGGGATTAGGTTCATAGGCACTGGACTCCTATAGGCAAGAAAGAAACCAGCCTGGCTACTGCTCCAAATGGCAGCAGACCTTGGCATCACCCATGTGGTGCTGGTTTTAGGTGCATGTAGAATGCAAGGATTGTGTGGTCAGGAAGGCTTCTGCCCAGATTTCACAAGAAGGCTGGGAGGCTAAGCAGTGTTCCCCTGAGAAGGGCAGTGTGCGAAGCTGTGAATGTGAAGCTGAAGGTGCAGTGGAGATCCCAGAAGTTTGAAGGCCAGGAATGTAGAGCATCCAACGAAAGCTGCAAGGTGTGAGCAAAGCCAGCCAAAGAAAGAAGCCATGGGGGTTACAAACACCAGAAGTGCTATAGAAGTAGAGCCACCCAAGCCCTTTGAAGTATATGTCTTGCCACAAATTGCCCAAGGGTGCTGCACATGGAACTAATGGACTTAATTTTTGCCCTGCTGGATTTTGGACTTGTTTTGGTCCCATTCCTTTGAATTCCCCTGTCTGTAACTTTTGGAATGGAAATGTCTATTTTGTGCCACTGAATGTTGGAAATGTTTAACTTTCTTTTCATTTGAACAGGGCCTCACAGCTAAGAGTTTGCCTTAAATCTCAGAGACTTTGGAAGTGGACTTTTCAACAGTGCTGAAACTGTCAGGAGTTTGGGAACTGTTGGAGATGGACTAAACGCCTTTTCATAAAGGAATATGCATGAGTCTTTAAGGGGCCAAGGGAACAATGTGATGGCTTGTGTGTAGATGTCCCCCAAAGTCTCATACAGTCGTAGATATGGCTTTTTCAGAGGTGGCTATGTCTAGAGTATATGATGCTGAAATTGATTCACGGTGCAATGTTCAAGTCAAGGGCACTGGGATTAAGGATGTGAGTCCTACCTGTCCTAAGTAGCCTGAATAAGACATAAGGTAGAGAAGGAGCTGTGGTCATCCCTTATTGCTTTGCTATTTTCTGCCCACCATGGATTGTTTCTCCTCTGTGATGCCTGTCTACCATGCCAACCTGCCTTGGAGCCAGCCAATAACGGACTGAAATCTCTACAAACTGTGAGGTAAATAAACCTTTCCTCCTTCAACTCTGTATGTTGGATATTTTGTCCCAGCAATGAGAAAAGTAAGTAAAATACTTTTCACTCCAAAACTATGGTAGGGTGAATAGTACTTTAAAGGAGGTCTTGCCTGAAAAACACTTGATCATAGGTTCAATAGAAGAAACCATAGTACATTGGTGGGGTCGCAAGGAAGAAAACAAGGGAGGGAAGGGAGGGAAGGGAGGGAAAAATAAACACAGGGAGAAAAAGAAGGAAGAACATGAGAGAAGGGCTGATGGAATAAACGACTTAAAACAAAAGGGAACAGTTACTATAAATGAGAGTCAAGAAAGCCAAGCCACAGGGATTTAACACCTTCAGATTACATATTACAATTGACAGATATGAAATGTCAAATAACTACATGACATATTTAAGAACTAGGAGATGAAATGAAAAAGAAGCAAGCAGGAAAAGATTATTGAAAACTACACTTTTCAAGTGTAAGAGCTGTCAGTCAAAAATGCAAAATGGCAAATTAAAGAAAAAAGTTAAAGAATATTAACAAATTGGAGAGAAACTTACTTAGGCTAGAAGGCAGCTCCAAAGAGCTGTAAAGAGCACAGTAAAGACAAAGAAAGAGAAAATAGGAGAGTTAAATGACATTAAGGTTCATGTCTACAGACACATGATCTTCCTTCTGCACTTACAATCAAATATTTCAAGGACACTAAGATCAATCATTCCTTGAATGAAAGGGCTGCTAAACATCTGTGGCAATTCACGTAATTCAGAAGACAAACATAAAGAACCTAGGTTAAAATTCTTATAAAATCATATTAGAGAACAGGAATGTATTCTTTCTAAGAGATGTGCTTTATATTAGATAAAGCATTTAGTTTTACTTTTTGTCCTTGCACTTTTTAAGGACTATACGATTTACACTGGGCCAACCCAAACAAACCAGAACAATCTCATCTCACAGCCAACTGATCAGCAGCTTTAATCATCCCTTGCCTGTACATAACAGATTTTACAGATTAGGATGGGGGGGCATTATTCTGTTTAGTACAGATGTCCACCAACTAGGATCATTTCTATTTTTTTCAGAAATGGATGATTTTTTTCAATTTAAAAGGTAGCGCTACTTGCTATCAGAACTATTCCTGGCACTACTGTCAGACAGAAAGCATTCTGGAAAAGGACAGGCATCCCCCACAAATTCTGAAAGGCACTGGTGATACAGGTTAGTGGTGGAGTGTCCCTGAGTTTAATCCCCAGTACCATGAAAACAAAACTAAATGAAATGAAGAACATGCTATGAACCATGAAGACCAATGGAAAGAGCAAGCGAGTGCATGCAGACAGCCGCCTTCTTCCTTCCCCTGCCTCGCACTGCCCTGTGAGGGGGTCTTCCATACACTCTGGTCCTCACACAGTGACATGGGCTCACTGAGCAGCTGGGAGCCAAGTACATCGCAGCTGAATTACTCACTTGAGAGGAACCTTTCCACACTGACTGAAAAAATACTATGTTCAGCATACAGATGTTGCAGAGCACTGCTCCTGGCAATCTATGAGACATTCCCTAACACACACACTCTGCATCTGCTTCTTTTTTAATGATACTGTCTCTTCTTCAATGAAAGTGTGACAGAACTGGCAATGCTTGATAGCACAGAAACAACTTATCTCTAAGATTAAAACGTACCGCTCAATTATATTCAGAAATTTAAAGCACACTTTTACTTTGAGATAACATCAAAGGAACTGAAAATATAACTTCAAAAGTTGAAAAACTGATTTTTCATTTAATTTAGCAAATGTTTCTGGTCCTTCTGTACCTAGATTTTCATTCTACGTTACATTCTTAGAATCAGTTTTTGAAAGTGTGATTGTAAAAATGTCCTGCAATACTTTGGATCTGAAAGTGCCCCTCCAAGTCTGTGGTTGAGGGGTGGTCTTCAGCTCTGTCAACCAGGAGTGGGTGATGCTGTTAAAAGGGAGCCCTGGGGGACTCTTTAGGTCATGGGGGCCATAAGGTCAGGTGACTGTGGAACTCCTGCCTTTCACTTCCTGGTCATAAGGTGAGCACTTCTACATCTCCACAAGCTCCCAGCAAGATGTGCTGCTACCACAGCCCAAAACAACAGGGCTAACTAATTACAGACTAAAATCTCTTAAAGCTGTGAGCCAAAATATAACTTTCCTCTTCAAAGTCAATTATCTTAGTATTTCTCACACCGATGGAAAGCTAATGCATCTGTACCATACAATCACTGTAACTGTAGTTCCAAAAAAAGAATTACTTCATGTGAATGTGAATGTTTGAGGACTCAGAAGGTGTCATCATTGTTCCAGGGTTATCATCTTACTTAGTGATAGATAAACATCAGGCACTATCAGATGCCTAAGTCCATGCACATACTGGTATGTGATGGGACATAACATGTGGCCATAAATAGTGATTTGCACCCTCTCCTAAGATCTGAATTAGCAACACACACATACACACACTCACACCCCCACATACGCCTGTACGTGCAAATATATGGTTGAAAATACTGAGATACATACTGGAAAAACCTTTGCAAGAGTCTTAAGAAAGTTAATGTGTAGTAATTTAACTTTTGTGTCTTTACAAGGTCAAATAGGGTATGTATTACAGTAATACATACTATTTATTATACATAATATTCATTAAATAATCTTTCATATATATTTCATATATAAACATATATGTGACAGAGAACAGAAACATATAATATCTTAATTCTTAATAATTCAGATACTCTTTTTTGATAAAGAAATGGCTATCTCATGAAAAAGTGAAGATCCAAAATGAAGCATAGATATAAAATCATTTGATAAACACTAGGTTCAAGTATGTGTTTATATGAAAAGCATCATGCCGATGAAATAAATAATAAGTCAGTGTTATGGTGAGGTAGTCACTCATATAATACAATACCTGGAGAGATTACTCTACATTTCTACATTTTTTACCTTACAAACCAAATATTAAAGCTATGAGACTGAAAGTTTTCTTTACTGAACTAGGCTCTACAGAACCCCCCCTCCCACAGTGCCCAATAAAACCCATTTCATTGTTTTCTTTCATGGCTGCTTCACATTTTACAGCTGCTAAGAGCGAAGATTCGGGAGGCTTATCATCTGGGCGCAGATGCTGGCTTCTGCAATGGTCACTGGTTGACATACCTAGGCGCAGGTCATCTATCACGTAACACGGGGTGTGTATCTAAAACTGTCGTGTGCTACATACTGACATTTACATCCGTGAAGGGCTAGCTATTTAACAATGGCCTCCTGAGGTCATATCACTAAGTGACGTCACAGCTGCCTTAGCTTGTATAGAAATGCTCTATGATGTTGCCGTGGACTGATGCGTATCTCAGAACCTGTTCTGGTCATTAAGTGATACGTGGCTGCATTTCCTCATAGCAACACTGAGTTTTAAGTGGGAACATATAAAGGCCACTATCTGGAGTAGACAATCAAAGCAATCTGGCTTGAGAAATTATACTACTTTCAATTTTTGCAGTAATAATGAACACATTCCCCATGGGGAGTTGGCGCACATATGTGACACATACTAATTCTCTCCTCCACCTCTCCCCCACCTCATCTCTTGGTCCCCTTCCCATTTGCCAAAGATCTAAAAGATAATGGGAAATATGGTCAGAAACTGTACTCTTAACATTTATGGGTTATGTTCCAGGTGTTATTTTTTGGTATCTAAATTACAGAAACAGTATTCTTACAGACAGTAAAAGAAAGAACTAGAAGTTTTTTTTTTTAAACAAAGACTGAGCAGGCTGTTTAATGAATAAGACACTGTACGGGGGATACAAAGTGAATAAAATGTACTCACCCCCCCAACAATGACCCAGGCCAACGAAAGACATAGAAATGTTTTAACCCCACTTAAAACATTTTAAACTATCATATAACTAATAAGAAGTAAGTGTTACGACAAAATATAAACTGGCTCACTCTGAGGTAACTGAGAAGTCATCAGAGGTAAAATGGGAAGTAGGTATGGAGACATAGTTGGAAGAAGGTGCCATAAGGAGACTGCATTTGCAAAGACATGAGCCCAGATCCTGTTTGAGAACTGATTGCTCAGAGCTGATGCCAGAGCTTCGGTTCTGGCTGAGAGGCAGAGGCCAGGGTGGGCAGGCAGGCTGGGCTAAGGTGCCATGTGCAGGCTTCTAAAAAGGATCCAGAGGCAGTGCTAGGTGTCTGAGTGTTACATTCAGCAAAGTAATGCAGCAGGACCAAAGACTGCAGAGAGGCACCTCCAGAGCATGGAAAGGTGCATTAGCTGGGCAAACAGCGCGAGGACAAGCCAGCGACAGTTTCAAGTACAGGCACGTCTAGTCCATTCCTATCAGACGGGATTTGATGATTTGCATTTTTCTTTACCAATGAAATACACATTTAAAAATATAATTATATTTGCAACATATTAAAAATTCTAAAAATTAAAATCAAGCTATTTGATCATTAGAACTTGCACTAATTTTTTTTTTTTAATCTTAAGGGCCATAATTTTTATTACAATGCCACAAACACCTATATACATGGTTTCTGGCCGCATCTCAAAGACATTTCTTACAGTAATAGATACAACATCATCCAATGAGTCAGGCAAACAAGATACCCAGGGTCAGAGCTAAACCAAGAAGAGCAGGGAAATCAACTGTAAGAGTTATTAAGAAAAATATTCCTCATTAAAACTATTTCCTAATTCTAACAGTCATTCTCTGTGGTCCATAAAAGAGTCATTAATGCTTCTGATTGCAGCAAGTGCCTCGGATTTTGTGTGTATTCTCATCAAGGCTGCGAGTTTTGATCATCAGAAAATTAAACCTCTCCTGAATGGAAAAGCTAAGACCTTGCCCTGAAACATAAACCCCACAGCTGACAGGCAGCCTTCTCCTTTCAGAGAAGAACTCAGATCCCAGGTGGGTGTAACCTTTTTGCCTTCAAAAGCCGGGCCAAAGTGCAGTAATGCTATCCTCACTGCAGACAGAGGGAAGATGGTCCCACGTTTATAGTCTTCTAATCTGCTCTTTATCAGAATGTCTGAGGGTCTGGGTTGTAACCATACACGTTCATTAAAAAACAATCACCTTACCCTCAGCATGTCAAAATGTTATCAGCAAGCCCTGCATCTGAGATCTGATGTCTAACTGGCTGTGTGAAGCTTTCTCCTTGTCTGCTGCCCTATCTGTTTCAGTAAATCGAACCCTGCGTGTATTGACATTTCCTTTCTGAAGCTGCTTCCTCTCCATTCAAGGTATGTCCTGCTCATACCAGCAGAGGGAGGCCTGATCCACTTCCGGAGCTTTGCGACTGCTCAATCAGGTCTCGCAGCGATTCTCCGGGAGGAATGTACGTTTCATCCTGCTCCAGCCCGATGCTATACCGAGGCCTGGTTTCCTGTCTCTTATACCTAAAGATGATGGGGATATTTTCAGAACCCAAAATACAGTGGTAAGGGTAAAAACTTTATAATAATAATAAATAATACAAAACCAAATGCTTAATACTTGTCCTTAGTTACAATTTCTAAAATACAAATTGTAATTACTTTGCTGACTTATGTTTAATAAAATTTCGTGTTTTTTAGTGTCCCAACATTTAAAGTTTTTTCTTCTTCTGTTTCTTGTAATTGCATATATCCAAGCACATTACATTCTGTTAGTTTTACCAGTTACAGTATTTATTCCTAACATCTTTTCCATTGAAGTCTCTAATTAAAGATGAAAATTCTTTGTTTACAGAACACTACAGCTAACTCTGCCATATAACGTAATGTATAAACAGTAACAAGTGAGATAAAATTAAACTTGAAAAACATTCTGTTAATAATTATATCTTCAACTATAAAATGAATTTATTTGAACAGACTAATTGACCCATTTGAAGAATACTACAAATGAATATTAAATTGCTCAAAAGGCAAATAATATGTATGTAAAGGTCTATATTTACAAACTAGAAAAGTTATTAGGCAGCTGAATATAATTTATCATGTTCAACTGAACTCGCTTGATTTTAATACTATCTACAAATTATGTTTAAAATATCTCAATACTAAAGAGGAATTTTTTTTACCTCAGGAAATAAGGACTTACTTGAATCACTCTAAGTTCAATACGGTATTTTCTTTGCTTTGAATCAAGCTTTAGTAGCAAAAAGTCCCTGAATTCCCCAACTACCCTAGTTTCCTTAGGGATTAAATATTGATGCACCCTTTTGATATCTGAAGCAGAAATTAGATAGGTATCTTTTTATATATAACATCATTAAGACAAATATTTGTCAAGAGTAACAAACAGTTGCAGATCTAACTAGGCCAAAGAAAGCTGTGACTAAAATCACCAATAAACAAAAGTAGAATATTAGGATAAGGAAGACAAGGTAAATGCAAATTCTACGTCTGTCTGTTGAAAACTTACCTGAAGTAGCAGAATAAGATGATAAGGACCAAAAGCAAACTGCAGACTGTGACAGATATAAGTAAGGCCTTGTGATGGATGGGTCCATCAACAAAATCTGAAATTTAGGAAAACAGAATGACAGCTATGATATGGACAATATTTTTACTTAAAAATGAGGAATCAACTCTCTCGCAAATGCTAAGCATTATATGCAAGATATGAAGAAATTTTCAGCACTCTAATTTATAAGAAAAACTACACGTATGCTGAGAACTACATATTAGACTCGAACGAATCACCATTCATCCAGGAAACTATTTCAACAGCACAGTTCCTGTCTGGCTTGACACACAATAAACCCATGCAAAGAATATGATAAAGGGAAATAGGTCTAAAATACAAGCAAAAAGCTCATGGCTATTCCAGACTCAGTGGCGGGTTCACAGGCCTGTCTCACAAGGTTTCTAGAGCAGTCTATATGCTGGATTTTGATTTTAAAACCACATGTATATCCATGGTGCATAAAGGCAGAGGCATCTTTAAGGTGGTTATAAAGGAGACACTCCTTAAATGGTGCCACACACACGGATGACATCACTTTAAGCACAGATGTCTTCCAAGGCATTCACAAATGAAATCATTTTTAAAACAACTGGACAGGTTCTAGACAAAGAATGTGTGAATCTTTAAAAAAACCTAATTATTAAGTATTAGTTATTTGGTCTTAACTGTAGTTCTTGAGAAAGCAAATTTACTGAAAGCATGCTTTCTCAATTTTTTGTAAATAACAATGACTGAGAGGGCTTTAATAAAATGCATATTTACTGCTTTTTAACCTCAGAAAATTTTACTCTAAGAATCTTATTTTTTAATAATCCTTGTTAGTTTTATGCAGGTGGTCTCTGAGACATATTTTGAGGAAAAATGATGGAAAGTCTGGTGCACTTACATAATAACAGAACTAGCACCACTCTTAAGGGCAATATATATCCTTGAGAAGAGTGATTACTGTTACTTAATTTTAAAAAGTAATATTATAACTTACAACTTTAGTTCTACAAGAAGAGGGCTTCTAACTGTGCTATACACTTGTAAATGTACAGCCACCTAAATATTCGTATCCAAAGTGACTTATCGCAAGTTTCATGAAGAAAAACTGAAAGTCATCACCTAAAATAAATAAAATCACTACCTCCTTACCACCCAGGTGAACAGCTGAGCAATAATATTTCCATAGCATTTTAATGGACAAAAACATTCATGAGCAAAATATTTTGCCATATTATACTGTTTTATAAGATTATTTTCATTTATAAATCTTGGACATTTTCCAAAAGCAACAAATGATTTTTAAACATCACATAGTATAAAGACATCTTCATTTTGAAAGACAGTCTTATTATAGTCTTGTATGTTTAGAAGATCTGAAAAGATAATATTATAATGCTTCCTTACTATAATGTAAAGAAGTCGAGAGCATTTCACTTTCAAATACTCCCTACTGGTCCAGAGTAGCTGTCTACCATCTTCTCTGTCTCCCACCACCTTCAAATAAATCATCTTCTTTGATGTTCGCACACACAAAAGTCTGCAGTGAACACATCTACATATCCATCTTTGCGTGTGTCCGTACTTACTTACTTGAGAGATCTAGAAGCAGAATTATTAGTTCAATGTATGTCAAGGTTTTTTACTCATGTTGTCAAATATCTTTTGAAAAACTGCAACAATTTCTACTTCATTACCAACATGAATGTTTTAATTATTTGGAAATAATTTCAACCTTACAAAAAAGCTATAAAAATAAAACCTCACATATGGCCTTCATCCAGATCGCTCATTGTTAACATCTTACACTTATTTTGTAATTCTCTTACTATATCAGTGCCCCCATGTACACACAAATATATACAATACATATTCACATTTCATTTTATTTGTTTATGTATTTGTATGCCTGTATTATTTTATTTTTATTTTTTAAAATTTATTTATTTATTTATTTATTTATTGTCTTTTTTTTGAGACAGGGTCTCACTATGAAGGTCAGGCTGGCATTGAGCTCACTTTGTAGCCCAGGCTGGCTTCGAACTCACAAGGACCCTCCTGCCTCAGCCTCCTGAGTTCTGGGATTACCGGTGTGTGCCACCATGCCCAGCTATTATTTTACATCATTTGCAGTTGCAGAATAATGTTCCTGTCATTTACAAACAGTTTGGAATATACTTCCCAGGAATGAGGACCCTGTCTTACAAACAGTAACACAATTACCCAAATCAGGAAAATAACATGAGCAAATAAATTGAACATAAATCTTACTGCTCTCTGAAACACTGCAGAAAAGACTCAGATTACCTATTAAAAACTATAATCCACAGATCACTGTGCTTATTTGCTGTCCAAACCTATTTTTAAGACTTTTTTCCAATCATGTTCTGTATTCATCCATGTTCGCAGCACGGTGCTTGCGCTCCTGTGCGGAGTAGGTGCATGGACACATCCTCTCCACGCCTGCCTTCTTCATGCTCAGTGGCAGATTTACTCTTCAGTCCAAGAATATGTACGTTTAGAGTTATTTATGACTGATACTATTTCCAAAATATTAACAAAAGCAGCCTTCATCTTCAAAGGCTGAATGGAAATCATTAAAATCAAGCAGTTTTATACAAATAAACTAAAAACACTGCCTATGGACCACAAGAAAGGAGTTCAGGAGCTTTAACCACTGGACATTGTCCAAAAATCCATGCCAGCTTCACACAATCAGGAGCAGTATATACTTACAACATAGTTTGCATACAATACAGTGTTTAGTGAAGTCTGAAAGCAATATGTAGGTTTTAAAATTAAGCAGACTGAAATTTTATACAATAAATTATCTTAGTAAATTTTCCCCTATATTTCTTACATATATACATAAAGACTGCCACTGGTACCTTATTTTTTTTTAAGATAACAAAAGTTTGATTTTTCAGAAACGCAAAGAGAATTTTACTCAACTAAAACTACAGCTAACCACATAATTAATACTATTTTCAGTATACGAACACACAATACTTTTTTATTCCAGTGATTCAATTGTTTCTAAAACTATCCATTTCTGTGCCTTTTACTTTTTGTGGAAATATAGATTGCAGATTACAGCCTAGCCTTTACTCACTTTACTATATGTCCTATTTATAAGAGTAGGAAGACCTCAGAGGACCCCAGGGATTCTTCCCTTAGCAGCAGCATTTTATTAAGGGTAGCAGTACCTCCCTATTTTTCTTTTTGCCCCAGAAATCCTATCCCTGCACCTCACCTTCTGCCTCCTAGGCTTCCTTCAGGAATAGCTGATCCTTATTGAGAACACCTGTTTAATCTGCCATTACCCATACTCAGAGCATGAACAATATAAACATTCAAGTCCCTGCCAGAGGCTGGAAGGTAACCCTTCAGGATACCAATCAGGAGGAGAGCAGAGGCTGCTGGTTCTCTCCGCAGCAGATTTGTAGCTGCGCTGTCCTCTACCTGCTCAGGGATGTAGAACCAAGAACTCCTGGGGAAGTCAGGTTCACTACCACAAGCAATTAAGGCTCAGGGGCAGTTCTGTAACAAAACTGTTCTGTTGCATTGCCTCCTCTCTGGTAAGTAGAACACTTAGTGTTTCAAAGGAAAGGACCCATTTTATAAAGCTAGAAGATGGTTCATAACTACAAGATGAAATCAAAGAAAACTCATGTAACCAGAAAGAATCTGGGAAATAACCATGTGCCTGAAGACAATCTGATATGGATTCTAGGTGTTATAAAATAAGTCATTAGGAGGCCTCTTCCTATTAGAAGAGCAAAAGGTACCCGAAAGCATGCTCCTGCCACAGGCTCTTATTCAACAAGTAGCAACGCACACATTTACTTTTGTCACACATCAAAATTTGTTCCTATAGAAAACTCTAGAAATAAATTACCTCTGTATAAACAAAACATAATATCCTCTTCATTCTCCTGCATAAAGTGTTTAGGGGGTATATTCCTGATCACAAAGTACATTAAGACAAAATTTTTACTTCTACATTATTTTATCCAAAAAACAAATTACCTTTAAATTCTTCTCATATGTCTTACCAAAAACATTAGCCTGAAATTCCAAAATGGGCCATTTCAAGAAATACTAGGGCTACTCTCCCACAAAGATTTATGGTTTGGTCTATGCTGCTAAGATATGATCTGTTTAACAGAGGTGAATTCCAGCACTCACACACACCAGATGCTATCATACGTTCAATACGTGCTGAGAAGAAACTGATGTTTCCCTGGCTACACACTTGCTTCCTGGAGAGTTGTTTGTAATTAGCACTAAGGGATAACATTTAAAACAAACCTGTAATGTGCTCAAACTATAGTTGTCTTAATTGAATGTGAATACATGAAATAATTTTTCACTTTGTAAGTCTTGTATTATAGTTTGCCTTAAACTACACAGAAATTACCATATTTGTAAACAGAGGGTTATTTCAGATAAATTTTCTATTAAGTTGAATGTAACGTACTTGTGTAATTTCTGTAAACATTTAAACTTACACCTATTTTTTAAAATTACAGAAATTTTTAAAAATTACAGAAATTTTGTAAGAGCCAAAGCAGAGTGCAAGGGTTTTATTTATTGCATTTTAAATGTTCATTTTAGAAAGTGATTATGAGACCTCAGCACATCCCCTCGCCAGCTGAGCAGGGGTCTCTTCTCCTCTATGCCAGCTCTGGGTTCCGGGCTCCCCGGGCATCTATGGTTTATCACCAAGCAGCTGCATTTGCTCTCATATGTGCACACTCTCTCCGCCTCAGGAGAAGCACATTTTCCTGGGGCATTCAGCTTTGCCGCAGAGCAAGCAAAGCAAACTGGTTTAGGCACAGGCTGTACAAGCTGGATGGAGTGTGCCGGTCTGCACCTCCCTTCCGTGTCTTTAGCATGAGGAGAGGCCTTAAAAGGTTGTGTGAGGTTCCGGTGGGTCAGTAACATAATACTTAGCATGATGCCCGGCTGACACTAATGATTTTAATTTCTCAATTTTCATTTATGCAGTCTGTTCTACTTCACCCATGTAGGAAATTCTTGTTTGCCCTTTCCTTTGTGTTGAAGTATCACAGTGGCTTCCCACCCCAGACAGAGCATGCCACTAGCTCGCTGTTTTATGACTGACCTTAGGACACTTAAAAACCTCACTCAGACATGAAGAGATGCTTCTGATCAGATACAGTGACACCTTGGCTGTCCAGTGACTGGCCAAGCTCGAACTTTCCACTACTCAAACGGCAAAGCTCAAAAAAATCTGCTTGGTGGTGGTAACTTTGCTCAGAAGCTGAACTGAAGCTCCAACTTGAGAAAATCTGTACAGGTCAGGAGTGAGTCACAAATTCCCCACACAAAGGGGGTCACTTCCTTCCAAGCTCTGCTCTCCGCAGACGACAGATAGTGCTTGAGTTAGTGCTTTCAAACCTCTGCCAATGTGCTTTATTTGTATTTACTTGCATAAAATATTATAACAATATTTTCAAAGAAAGTGACACCAGCAGTAAAGCCAAGAAGAAACTAAGAACCATGGAAGAATTAAACAAAGAAATCATTGCAAAATTTGTTAAAGTGCTGAAAAAATTAATTTGTAAGTGTAATTTTGGGACCTCAGAACCAATTATTTGATTTTCCATTTTTTATAGGAAAAATATGTTCAGTTTTCGAACTTTGCGGTGTTTGAACACAAATTTGGAACAAGTTGATTTTAACATGTAAGTTAATTACTTTGATGTTTCTCATACCCTAGTGCACATTTCTTAGAAGACAGAATTTTCTATACCCATTTCTGTACTCCTAATGTTTAACATGTTTTTTGAAAAAAAACTAAAAGAACAGTGAGTTTTTATGTGAATCCTATGAATCAATATTACATCATTTCTAGGCTATAGCAGGAAAAATTTTAGAAAATTTTATCAAAGCCAAGAAATTCCACTACATTTTGGGGGAGATTTATTCTCCTCAAGAAATAAAATGAATTGCAAAGGATCATTTCAATGCACCTATATAAGACTCAGGACTTACAGCCTATGACAACAAGTCATTCATTCTACGATGAGAACAAAGGGGGAAGGAAACATGGGCTGCCTTGGGTACAATAACTGCTGTTCTAAAGGAGAAGCACTTAACAGTGTGAGTTCTGAAATTAAAACCTTTAGACATCCTCTTCATCCTATCAATATATTGATATATGCTTTGACACAAATTACTCTAGGATAGATACAATGAAGCATTACATAGCAAATAGTCTATTTAGCCCCTTATAAGGTCTTTATTTTTAAAATTAATGTGGCCAAATGGTGGTTTTACAGATTAAAAACAACTTCTGAATAGTATTTAGGGGTGGGAACAAGCACTGCTTACGGAGCACAAGCTCTAGCAAGTGTGACTTCCTGGAGGGGTGAGGAGTCCAAGTATAAGCATCAGCACAGGGAACACACAACACACAAGTGTCCTGTGGACTCTTGCTCAAGTCTTTGAATGACAGATTCTGTCATCTTATGGCACCCGCTGCCTCAGCAGTGCCATGTGACACAGGCAGACTCTTTGGGGAAGACAATGAAGAGATTCAAGAAGCAGAACAGAGGAGGAGTCCTATTGGGGAGACTCAGGGAAAGACAATGACTCCAGGGCTTATTTGCACTATGCCTAAGCTTTCCCAGCCTGGAAGCCTTCCTGGCCTTACCTCTGTTTTTCAGTGGAGGCAGCGTAGGGTGTAGGTCTTTATTACATTCATTCTTTTCTGTGCAGCATTCAATGGATCTTCTTTGATGAGGAATGGGAGTGTCCTAAAATTGAACCCACACAACTATTATCAAGTTTATTCTGTTTCAATGTCATATTGTCTAAAAAGTAAAACAATTATCATTACAAAACATATATGAACTATAGTACAGATGTAATGCAATCCTGATCAAAATACCATTAGCATATCTCACAGAACTAGAGAAAACATTCCTAAAATTCATCTGGAATCAGACATACAATAGCAAAGGCAATTCTGGTCAACAAAGGCAAGGCAGGAGGCATCACAATCCCTGACTTAAAATTATATTACAAAGCCACTGTGATAAAATCAGCATGGTACTGGCAACATAACAGTTCTGAGGATCAGTGGAACAGATTACAAGATGCAGACACAACTACAAACACACTCAACCACCTTATCTTTGACAAAGGGGCCAGACATGTTCACTAGAAGAAAGCCTCTTTAATAAATGGCACTAGAAAAACTGGCTTTTCACATGCCAAAAACTAAAACTAGACTCATGTCTATGACCATGCACTAAACTAAAGTCAAAATGGATTAAAGATCTAAATATTAAAGTAGAAACACTAGATCTCCTGGAAGAGAAGGTAGGTAGAAGTCTTGAAAACCTAGGGTAGGCAGAGAGTTCATGAACAAAAGCCAGAAACGCTTCAAAAAAATCAACCCCTAGGATCTCATCTTATTAAAAAGTTTTTGCACATCAAAAGGAATCTGAGCGAAAAGAAACCCATGAACTGGGAAAAAAATTTAGCGAACTGCCCCTCTGACAAAGGACTTTATCTAGAACATATTAAAAAATTTTAAAAAATCAGGCCCCTAAAATTCAAAGACCCAATCAAAAAATGGGCATCTGAGATGAATAAACACTTCCCAGATGAAGAAATACAAATGGCAAATAAATATATGAAAAAATGTTCAATATCATTGATCATCCAAGAAATGCAAATTAAAACAACACTGAGATTCCATCTCACCCCAGAAAGAATGGCTATCATCAAGAAATCAACCAATACTGTGGGGAAAAAGGAACCCTTCTCCACTGTTGGTAGGAGTGTAGACTGGTGCAACCACTATGGAAATCAGTGTGGAGATTCCTCAAAAAACTAGGATTAGAGGTCCCATTCGACCCATCTAGTTCCCTTCTGTGTATTTTTCCAGAAGAACTGAAAGCATCATATCACAGCGATATATGTGTACACATGTTTATAGCAGCATAATTTGTAATAGCTAAATCTTGGAAACAACCCATATGTCCATGAACTGAGGAATGTATAAAAGAGATGTGGTATTTTTATACAATGGAGTACTACTCAGCTATAAAAAAGAGACAAACTTAAGGCTTTTACAGGTAAATGGATGCAACTAGAGACCATACTCATAAGTGAAATAAATCAGAATTGCATCTGTAAACATTGTATTGTCTCCCTAGTGTAAGAAACGGAAAGAGTAAATAAGATCCAGAAGGTATAATAGATATAGTGAAAGGGAAAGAAACTGCTCAAAAGGAAAGCACAACTGGGATGGGGGAAAAGAGAAAAGAAGAAAGGGGAAAAAACATATGTATATATACACAAGAAAGCTAACATAATTGCACTACTAATTTCTATTAGTTCATTGAAAGGAACAGTTAGTGATTAAATTGTTTGATCAATTTTGCATACGTATACCTGGTAACCTGAGCAACTACTTTGAAGATAACAATGTGCAATATAATAACCACTGTTAATTTCCTGTCATCTTGTTTTGAAATTCTGTATCTTTTTTTTTGTTTCTTTAAAATAAAAAAAGAAAACATATATGAAATTCTAATAATTTTTTATATCTTGAAAATGTTACTTGCTATCAGGTAATTTATTTGAAGTTATCCTGCACTATCTTCTTAAAACTTTTGCATTTCAACAAAATTACAATTACATCTATAATAATTAGTATACATACACTGCAGAGGAAGTCTTGGCTCAATGCAATAATCTAATGAGACACTAAGTAAGAAATTAACAGCAGAAACAAAAAGAATATTAGATTTCAAAATGAAAGGAGAAATGGCCTAGTGAGAATTTTCAGTTATTTTCTAAAGTACTAAAAATGAGCTAGCCATGAAAAACAACTGTTTTGTCTCACGGACATCTTGCTGGAAATGTAACCAATGCACGGGTACAGGGTAAAATCAAGTCATCTTCCTTACCCGACACTGAAAATCTGAGCCTTCTAGTCCTAGACATCCAGAAGTGACCACAGGCATCCCAGAGTCGTCCTCCTCGATCATGGTGAAACAGTATCCGTCTGTGCTGAAGCCCGAACAGGCAAGGTCAGGGGAGTGAGAGAGAGCGAATGAGTAGGTCAGGATGTGTACTTTGGTCTCAACGCAAATAGGGAGAAAACAAGTCACCAGTATGAGCTACAAATTGTTCAGATAATCTGAAAACTTCCCCTTAGGAAAGTGGACTTAACTGTCTTCAAAACGTCTGTTATACCTGATCTACCTAGAAATTTGTGAGACGGGAAGAATCAAAATTTCCATTAGGAATTGCCATGAATCACATATATCCCACTTACTGAACTGACTTTAGCCCTTCCCAGTAGAAATTTCTCCAGACAAAGCCATAGCAAACAGCTCCGAGGAAAGCAGTGCTAGCCTCAACTTCTGTGTGAGGAAACTGAGGCCCAGAGAGCGTGCGTACTTTCCCAAGAAGGCACAGTGAGGCAGAGAGGCCAGGGCTGGCCACATATAGGTGCATGCTGATGCTGGCTCTGCTCATCTGAGCTAGTGAAGTATACTCATTCCTACTCAACACAACAGCTAAAGGCCGGGAAGGAGCTGAGTCAGTGGGGTAAACTGAGCCACAAAGATGGTGCACCTGCTTCCTCGGTTCTTGGGTTGCCCTGCACAGGAAGAGAAGAAGCTTTGCTCTGAGCCATCTGGGCTTGACCCAGGAGCGGCCATGGAGGCACAACGCAAGTTGTTCTGACACAATAATGGAAACAAATGCTTTCTATATTTTGTATGTTTTCCTGGATTTATGCTCCCTTTTTCTATGTCATTTAGTCCTCTGAACAAGAAGAAGATAGTAACATTTCTACTTTACAGATGGAAAAACTGAGAAAGTGATCACTGTATGCAAAGTCAAAAATAATTACACTAAAGCAGAGATGGTAAGCCTTTGAGCGACAAGTGCTCAAACTGCAACCCAAAGCCCACTAAAACCCATTTATCTATCGCAAAGTGCCAACACAGCAGTTCAACCTGGACACTGACATTTGAGCTTAGAAAAAATTCATACATTAATATCTTTTGATTTAAAAGAAAAACAAGTAACATACATGCCGTAGGTTTGCCACTACTGCACTAAGGTATGTACCAATTTCCCCGAACTGTAGTTATTATGCATTGTAAACATGTAAGAATAAAAATTTAAAAAACAGTTACACAATGAGGCTTTGAATCAAGGTCTTCTTACTTCATTCCCACAAGAACTGGAAGTACATGTTTAGGGTAATGAATGCCAGCGGACTCCTAATAATACACCAGTACTGCAAGTCCTCAGAAATAAACTACTAAACTATATGATCATCCATTTCTCACTCATATGCATGCGTGGCGTTCAAGACAGACAGGACAATGTAACACAGGAAGACGGCTCTGAGAATGGTATTAGCCATGACTTGCACGCCTGTCTGCTCTGCCTTAGCAGCAGCAGCACTCTGCCATGCATTAGCCCTTCACTTAACATCAACACCCTTAGAGTTGTTTACGGGTTTCTATGCCTTGAGTGAGCCAAATGCCTCAGTTTACAAGAAACAGTAAAGCAAAGTTCAAACGTACCAACGAATAGCGAGGAAGAGCCCATGATAAATCACTTTGTTAGATGAAGGTCAAGTGCATGAATATTGCTGTAAAAGAAAGACTGCCTCTGAACAGCCCACGCTGTGAACTGTCTGGGGTGTTTCAATAAATTTATTGAAAGTTTCATGAAAATGTGAAGCATATAAATGTTAAAGACAATAAATATACCTATTTCTCAGAAATTTAAATAACATGAATAAGTAATACTCGTGTGATTTTAAAATTGGTTTCCTATACATTTAAACTACATATGTAACTTCCGTAACTTATGATCAAAAAAGTATGATGAATGTTTAAAAATTGTCTAATATTGATTACAGTAAAAGACACATCACCATTAATCCCACTCCAAATATTCTCCCTTACTTCAAACACACTCATCCCACCACCCTTGCCACTTTCTGAAGCAGTCCTCTTTTGTGTCCCTCATTTGCACACTATCATGGCCATCTAGATGTCCTGATGCCCTCAGCTGACTCACAATGTTTACCTCTAGTGGTCATTTTGACTTTGAGGATGAGCCAGAAGTCACCTGGTGCTGGGCCTGGTGAGCAAGGTGGACGCAGGCGCACCTCGCTCTTGAGAGCTTCCCTTCTCTTTGCATAGTACTGGGCAGCTGCAGTCATTGCTTTTTTTCTGACCTCTCAAGAGACACTCATAAAAGAGAATTACTCCAGAAAGTGGCTAGAAAGATGGGAAAAGTGTGTTTGAAATGAGGGGGAGTCCTTTGGGAGAATTAATGGCAATGTTTCTTTTACTGTGATAAAATTTTCAAAAATTTAAACATTTTGATCATACCTTATATATTTCTGATCAAAGGCAAGATCAGAAATTACCAGGAATAAGTCACCCTAATGTTCTGACATTCTAAATACACAGGGGCTTGTGCAGCCAATATGCAGATTAAATCTCAAGGCTACTTCCTACTTTTTATGAGTTTTTGCTTACTCAAAATCTAGATAATTTACACAAATCAAGAAAGGAATGAGGAAAATATAGGAAAGCTGTTAGTAAGTTAATGTTATAATGTCCTGGGAAACATAAACATCAGGTAAAGTATATTCGAGCTTTAAAAATTCACTCCTCTGTTTCCAAAGAGGGAGAAAGCAAAACTATAAAAAAGTGAAAGTGAGAAAGAGGGATCTTAGAGAAAAGAATCAATGTTCCATTCATCACAAATTCATAAAGGAATCAAATATTTAGTTCAAGAAATATTCAACTAAGTATTGCTGAGAAAGCCATTTCTGTGCATATTATTGTCAATATGGCAAAAGTAATGTATAAGCTTTATTCATCTCTGAAGTTGCTATCTAACAAGGGAAATCAGCTGGAAACTTGCAGTATATTTATGGAGCTGAAGGATTACTTATGAGCTTTCATCCCTCAAGCAAGCACAAATGTAAACAAAACTAAGCTCTAGAGTCAAAACTGACGACCTCTGCTCACCACAAAGATCCTACTGCTGGATGTCATGAAGGGAAATCAGTTCCTACTGCTGGCTTATTTGAGTATTTCACTGCCTAGGTGCCATATTTAACTTAGTTTTATATAAATAGATTATTACTCCATCCTCCCTACAGTGCTGAAAGTGTTTAGAAATGAATAATCAAAAAGAAAACTAAATTAGAAAGAATTTTTAAAAAAATTGGAAGTAGTGAAATGTACACATAAGCATATGCTAACTCACTGAACTAGAGTAATGATCATGAACAGAGAGAGGGAGAGAGAACTGATCTCAACATTCCCAGAATGCTGTCCCGGTGTCACAGGCAGAGAAAAGTGATTAGAATGGAACAACAGTTGAATGCATACTACATACTCAGTCATCAATGCTGAATGCCTCTTGACATGACTTTAACTTATAAAACACAAAGCACTTCAGAACTTAAGGGTTACATGAGGTAAAAAAAGTGATAACACAACTTTTGTTATAACCCTTGGGTGCTTCCACAGATTCTTAAATTTTCCAAGTATTCCAAAGGCAAAGGAGTTTCTGGAACATCCAGAACAATCATTGGGTACTAACTACCTCAAGATTTTCAGTGTGACCAGGTGAACACACCCATCAAGAAAGGACTCTTCCTGCTCGGAGCCCTGAAAGGCCCAAGGGACACCATTTTTAAGTATGCAGCTACACTTCTAGAGACCACAAGGTGTGTCTATCTCCCCTCATTTCTCATCCAGTGGGTCATAAACAGCTTTCTAAAATGCACCTCTTCCCTACATTATTATAGATGGTAAGACATCAATTTCACAGGGTCCCTGAAACTGTGCTGCTAGTATCTTTACTCAGCATAAGCACAGCATTGCAAGGCATGTCCAAGCTTTGGCCCCTTTAACTCTCTTCTTCCGCTAAGGTCTCATGTTTATTGCAAACCCCAGGCTTGTTCACAAACAGCCATCATGGGTAAGAAGGAACTATTTCTGAACAATCCCACTAGGCTAAATCTTTATATAGATTAAATTAACTATAAAATAATTATCAAAGATCTCATCTGCTTTGTTCAATTAGATAACAGAAAATTTTAAAGCATTATTTTAAATTTGCTGTCAATCAAAGTTAATCACATAAGTGAGTATCTGCTCAATGTCATCTGCCTGCAAGTATTAACAGTTCTCCTGACTGATCAATATTTATTCATTTTTTTCCTCCCATATGTAACAAGTACTAGAATTCTTAATTTTTTAAACTTAATTTTCACTCGGATTGGATTTTTAAATGCTGGTTGATTTTAAGTCATTTGTTAACAAACATTTATCAGGTCTTCTAAAATATCTATTTTGCAACCAAGGAAATAAAATTTTCAGAATTTTCTGTCACAGGTAAACTCAGTGATATGCAAAGTTTGTAGAGCTGCTGTTTAAGACATGTGTTCTTTAGTCAGCTGAGTGCCACGGCTCCATCTCCAGGAGCTCATTTTACATTTGAGGAGCCCAGTAGGACTCAGGTAGATAGAAGTGCTGAGAACACCAAGGAAACGGGCTGCGGCCTTCCCTTTGGAGGAGCTCCTAGTCTACGAAGGTCACCGATCCTCCAAGAGAAACAGCTGCCCAACTTCAAGCAGTAAGAGTAGAAACTGAAAGCTACGTAAATGTTTCCTGCCAACTGGAAAATAAGCAAAGAGTGGCGATTACCAAAGTAATAGGACCTTAAGGTTTTTGGTTTTTGTTTTCTTTCTTAGATGAATGGATTCCATAGGGTTGGAAGGAAATAGAATAAAATGGTTCTGGTTCTACGCATCCTTCTTTGGCTTTCCCTCTGAGGGTCCCTCTATTTAAAGGTAAGGTTACAACATCAATGACAAGATCCCAATGTGAGAGTTACCTACTTTTTCAGAGCCTTCTAGAAGGTCTTCCCTTCTCATCTCTAACACAAACCCATTTTCTACAGCAGCAGTGGTGAACCTATGACACCTGTGCTGCAGCAGTCTGTGTGTATGACTGAGACCCCTAGAGGGTTCATCATCATGGCTCTACAGTGTACAGACCTTCTACTGTCCTCTGCTCAACAATCTTCAGTGGTTCTCCATGTGTGACCTCGAAGAGCCCTGTGTTACTCATTTAAGTTCCAATGACAAATTGGGCCCATTTAACATTTGCAATTCTGACTAGTGAGAGGCACAAAGGGAGAGTAATTTTTTTATAAAAGACCTCACCAGTTAATTTGTCGTCATAGACTTTTACAACTAAATTGCAAGTTCTAATGAAGGACCCACCATTCTCCTAAGAACAATTATTTGAAATCAGCATCTTCTCCTGGGGAAATAAAGAATTGTAAAGCTCGATGTTCAGATAGCCTGGGCAACAGTGGCAAAACTTGAATGGCTTATAGTGGTATTCATCATGCGGGGGAGAGAGATATAGAAGACAACCAAGCAAAACACAATTTACGAAAACGTAGGTCAGGAGTACCCGTCTGAGAATCCACAGCACTGGGCTCAGCGAGGTGAAAAGGCCTGGATTAACGCTAACTGTGAAGAGTCCATCAGCCCCTCGGCTTTCTTTCCCTTCTGCCCGAGACCCCTCATGACCCACAGGTGGAGACCGCAGACCGCTTGTCACTGGTCCGTGAGGAGGTTAAAACAAAAACTGAAACTTAAGTAGCACATTGAGAGGGTGGATATTTCATGTGTGCTACAGCTAAATAACAGAAAATAGGGAAAACAAGCATGTAATATGAAAATTTTTCCATTTATGTTGTCATAATTCACTTTTACTGTGCTTTACAAAAGTATCAGTGTACAGCTGTCGGGGGTTAGAGAGAGCTTGAGAAACACTGCTCTGGGGACACAGGTCCGCGTGTGGGCACAGGAACAGAGTGCAAAAGTCTCGCCTATGACCCCACAGGGCTGATCTCAGCTCAAAGAGCGCTCTCCTGAGGCAACGCCTCACTAGCAAACGAGGTGCACTTTCAACTCCAGTCACTGTCGCTCCTCTCCTCTGAGAACCAGGTCTGGGTGGCTGCTGGCCAAGAACTCGTGACTTTGGAATCTTGGCCACAATACTTTCATCAGATCATCACACCTCAGATTTCTGAGAAACCTGTACAGGCCTCCGATTTCTCACATGCAAAATATAATGCTCTGTTCTCTACAGGAATACTGCGGCAATTAACGGTAGATGAAATTACACGTGGTGATATTTATAAACATTTCAGTAAATATTAATTTTCTGTTTATGTCTACAGCTTAGTCCATCTGTGTCAGTTGTAATAGTGCAGCCCTGTTCTTTTCAGATGTGTCATTGTTACTGTTGCTGATTTTGTGTCTTTGGGTTTTTTTCCCATTTGTTACCATAAATCAATCAGTGACAACCATAATAATCGAAGTCCATCTCAGTCTGGCTTCCATCACCACTACACTGAGTATCTCTAGACTGCTCTCGCTAACATCGTGTTGTCTGGTCCACTGGGCCTCCGTGACACAGCCTCTTGGTCTCCTGGAATGTCCTTCATGCAGCATTAAAGTTTCCAGGCTCACTTCTGTCCCGGGAGATGCTCTCCACTCCTGACCCTAAGTCTTCAAGCTTCTCTGTATAAACGACTTCCTCTTGGCTCTGAGCTCGACTTCATCTTTTCAGTTGCTTCAGGCAGTGCTGGGGGACAGGATCTGCAGGGTTGTGTGAGTTCAGTTTCTCACTCTCCTGCGAGCAAGGACAAGGCTTGCGCACTGCAGGTCTGAGGGAAAGAAGACCACGCTGGCTGCGCTGGCCCAGAAACCTCCAAGGACGGGTCAGGTGTGGGCCCACGGGCCTCTGCAATTCTAAGGTCACGTGCCCACATGACAACGTTCTGGCTACTTTGTACTCTCTGCTGAACGCCCAACGAACACAGATCTGTGTCCTTCCTACCACTGTACCCTTTGACATCTTCACTCAGAAGTGTCCAAATTTTCAAATGCGGCATGCCCACGCTGGAACTTCATTCTCTTCCTCCATCCAACTGTACAAAAAGGCTCCGCTGTGCATCTAAATCTACGTCCAGGATCCTGGAAGGCCTCTCACAGGTCCCCTCCCACATCCAATCCATTGCCCAGGGCTCCACCTTCTAAACAGTTCTCAGATACACCCAACTCTCCTACACAGGGACCTTCCAGCTCCAGGCCACTTCCTCTCACATGAATTACCCTAATGAATCCACTTTTCAAATGCTCAGACCTAACTCTTTTGTGCACTTTCGTCTGCTTCTCATACATTCAATATTCTGTAGCAAAGAAATTTTTTTAAAAGAAAAATCACTAAACAAGATTTTCTTCTTTAAAATAAAATAAAAAGCAAAATCAAATGACATCATTCGCAGCTGCCACTCCTGCTGAAGCACCTCCTTCCTGCCTTGCCTGTGCTCTTGGGTACACAACTCACAATCCTAACACCCATACAAGACACAGTGGTCGTTCCCTGCTCAGCCTCCCTGTGCTCTGGGACACTAGTCTGCTTTGGACATACATGCTGCTCCTGTCCACACCACAGCCTTGCACCAGGGGCCTCTGCCTGAACCCCTTCTCCCCAAACTGACCGACACTTAAGAGATTTATCAGGAAAACAGGCCACATATTTGAAATTAAGGTAGTTGTAGGCAATCCTAAACATATGGTCACCATGACAACAGCCCAAATAATACACATCCATGTATCATGACTACTACAGAGTTAGAGAAAATAGTAAAATACTCCCTAAAATAGCTTCCTCCTGCTAATTTTGCTCTTCTTAGGAAATTCTAAAATTTTCCTGACACTCTTTAATCTAAAGAAACAATGTTTCCCATGAAAAGCCATCTGCGCTTCAAATGATTACACTTTACCACACAGCACTGTGCGGGGGTAAAGAGCCGGGTCATCACAGACCTCTGTGGATCCTGAATCCCACCTTTCTGAAGACAGAATGAGGATCCCCTGCAGTGCTGAAGTGTTCTGCTAACTAAATGGGAGATACAGTTTTATCATATCCAATGTTTTTCCTTGTGCTACAACAGTTAATGTCTATTTCTTGTGCTAAATATACTGGGTCCTCCAGATACACCAGTAAACTTACCCGGGTTGAGCCTGGACCCATGTGCAAAAATGAAATTTATTTATGTTACATATATACCTTATACAAATAGCCTGAAGGAAGTTTCACACATTTTTAAAGTGCCTGTGCTCTAACTATAATTCTCATGTGTGATCTATCCCATGAGACCAGGAGTGGAATTTTCTACTTGGGGCATTTGCTTCTGCTCCAACAGTTTCAGAATTTGAGCATTTTGGGTCTGGATACTCCAGTTAGATTCTGCACCACAGGAAACTGTATAAAAAGCTCTCTGAAGGCAAAAGTATACTGAGTTCAGATTGGTGTACTCTCCTGGCAGGTAAGGCTGCAAATGGTGGCCCAGATGTTCTATCTGAACTCTAACCTAGTGGTCTGCTGCCCTATCTGCATCCACGACTCTCTAAAGCCATGCGCTGCTTCTCAGACAGGGAATGCCTGAGGTCCACACTTGTCTGGTTAACATCGCCATCTCTCTCGGCACACTCTGGACTCCTTAGGCTACGGTCTTTACCCACTGCTGTCTTCAGTCTCGGGAGTAAATGCAGCTGTTGTGATAACAAAAATGGATCCAGTTGCATAAATGTGGAAGAAACAAATGTGAAAAATGCCAACAGTTCACTTTCCAGAGTTATAAAGCATTACAAAACACGGTTATCAATTTGGTAGTTTATTTTGTAGTACTTTGACAATGTCCTCCTAACATCTGGTGGGTTCACATAAGTTTGGTCCAAATGCTCCTATCTCAGAGTCAGTTTATTAATATTCCCAACAGTTTAGGTGTTGCTCTGAAATTACCAACACCACCGACACGATGAATGGTCAGAACATCACACATGTGCGACACCTGATGCTACGGAGCTGCCTGTGGAGAGCAGGTGCTCGGAAAAGAGCGACTGGCTTCTGCTCCTTGAAAGGAGTCTCGGGTCTGTGCTGCCTCTGCACCTACAGGATGTCTGGAGGGAAAGGAAGACCCAGGACCTTCAGGGCAAAATCCAACCCTGCCTTTCTCTAAATGTAGCACAGCTCTACGAGTTAACAGGGGTAGGAATTACTCTCCAAAATAAGTTCCATAAGTTTTGGGAACACTTATGATTAAACAGGTGTAACCCTTAGATAAAGCTAGGTTTAAATCGGTTCTATCACCAACCTGCAAATATTATTGACTGAGTCTTCCGGACAGTGGTGGTGGCATTTGCATCGTAAGATCTTCGGGCGCGGGGTGGGGGCTGTGCTCTCACCATCCTCCTTCCCGGTGCCCACATTTAATTTTCCTGAACTTCTCAAAAGCATGTTATCCAAGTTTGCTGAAAAGAAGAAAGAATGAGAGTCACGCCTCTGTAAGTGAGCATGCCACAGTCGCCTGGTCAAGGGTCAGATTAAATAGGACATGAGGTACTCATGACAGTGAAAGACTTTCGATAACAAATTCATCTTTCTGTACAGTATTAATGCCATTAGAATAAATAAGTAACCCATAATCCTTTCAAGATATGTATTATATATTAAATTGTAATAGTTGCATTTATCTGGGTACAAGGAGGTCAACGAAACATTAGAAAGATGTCTTTGTGCATTAGCAGCACAGATAAATATTATCAGTCCTTGTCTCAGATGAGAAAATAGACCTAAAGTTTAAGTGATCTACACACAGTCAAGAAACCATAAGTCCAGCATTGTAAATCCAGATTGTCTGAAGCCTAACACTGTCTTTCTACCTCATACCATGAAGTCTCGCTCCTCAAGGGACATCATGTATTTTACAGTAAATTATCAAAACTAGGTAGGAAACAACTCAGTAAACATCAAGGTATGTTTGAAAAGACATGCTCTCCCCCATCAGATTTTATCTGCAGAAGTGCCCACCTATTATTGTAGTGATACTTCTATTGTCCTTGAGGGAGGACAGTAAGGTAGAAATGACATCATAAAGGTATTTTTAGGGTCAACAATAGGCTTCACTATTTACTGGTTAGTTGTCTTTGGACAACTTCATAAATAATCTTCCTGCTCCTCATATTCTTAAGGTAAAATCCTTAAAATGGAGATTATCATAAGCAACTACAACTGATGTTGAGCTCAGTGTGTCCAAGAAATATCAAGAATTGGCAAGTGGGATTATATCAAGTTCCAAAGCTTCCACACAGCAAAGCAAACAACAAATAGAATGAAGGAACAAACTACAGAATGTGGAAAAATGCTTGGCAGCTACCCCTCAGACAAAGGACTGACATCTAGAATATATAAAGAACTCAAAAAAAAAATTAGAACCAAAATAAAAGACCCAATCAAAAATGGGCAACGGAAATGAACAATGTTTCTTAGAAGAAACATAAATAGTAAATAAATGCATGAAAAAATGTTCAACAGCATTAGCCAAGAGACAAATGCCCACTGAAACAATGTGAGATTCTATCTTACTCTGCAAAGAATGGCCATTTTCAAGAAATCCAGTAACAAACACTGGGCAGGCTGCAGGGAAAAGGAAACACTCCTGCACTGTGTGAGTGTAAACTAGTACAACCACCGTGCACCCAGTATGTCTCAAAAACTAAAACTAGAAATTCCATGTGACCCAGCTATTTCTCTTGTAGGTATCGTCACAAAAGACTTAAAGTCATCGTATTACACTGATGTGTGCATACCCATGTTTATAGCAGCACAACTCATAAGCACTAAATCTCTATGTCCACCAGCAGAGAAATGGGTGAAGAAAACATGCTGTTTACATACAACAGAGTACTACTCAGCCATAAAAATAATTTTGAGACATTTTTAGGGAATTGGATATAACTCTGGACCATAGTATTAAGTGAAATGAATCGATCATACAAGCATAACTATCCCATCGCTTCTCTTCGACGAGAAACTCGAAGTATAAATAATTTAAAGAGCAAATTAAAGCAGATATTACAAAATAGGGAGACAGGCCCTCTGCAAGTGGAAAGGGGAACCAGGGAAGGAGGGGAGGAGGACAGGGGGAAGTAAAAAGAGGTGAGATCTGCTGTGTGTTTGTGCCAACTTCCAGCCACAAGTGCAGTCCCTACGTGCCGCAAATACGTGCTGATAAACACAGAGAAGCCTGTGTCTGTTGCACAGCAAGGGGAGGCGCTGATGCCTACTGTTGGCCCCGATGCCTTATGCACTGGGGCAAGAGCTCTTTACCATGCCGTGTCAGGGCAGGAGTCCTCACTGTGACCATTGTTTAATTTAACATTTCCCTTGTAACATATCTAGTTGGTTGATAATTAAATAAAATTTCAAAAATATATTATCTAAATTAAACATTGTTGGGTTAAAAACTGATGTCATTATGTCAAAAGTGAATACATATGCAACAGATATTTACAGTGTGCATTTGTTATTTTTTAAACCATAAGTAAGTGCCTCTAGGCATTGAGAATTAAAAGTTGCAGAAAAAAATATGATTTCTTCTGGATTTCTACATCTCAAGCTCATTAGTCAGATTTTTAGAGAATCATAGTTTAAGTCAAAATCCATGAAGGCATGGGGTGGTACATTCTTGTAATCTGAGCACTCATGAGGATGTGACAGGAAGATTTCAAGTTCAAGGACCAGCTCGGCAACGTAGAGAATTCAAGGATGGCTACATAGCAGGACCTTGTCTCAATCAATCACTAAAATTAATAAAACATCACAAGTGCCTGCCTGGCAAGCACAAGGTTCTGAGTTCAAATCCTGGTTCCAAAAAAAATTAATAAAACATGTGAAATCAACTTATCAGAACTTCCTTTATGATCATATCAACTGCAACATTTTATTGTAGTTTTACAAATGTGCATAAGATGTCTATGCAACTTTCTCAAACAGTTCTTTGCAGTCGTAGTTTTGAAAATGTATGTCGATTGTAGTGAGCAGCAGAGGTGCACAAGGAGCTTGTTCTGTGTAGAACCCCACCCCACCCACAGTGATTAGATTCCCTAGGTCTTAGGTCAGCTGAGGAAATACATATTCAACAAGAGTTAGCAGATTTTATTTATTCATTTATTTTTGGTCTTTTTGAGACAGGATTTCACTATGTAGTTCCGGCTGGCCTTGAACTCACTTCATAGCCCAGTCTGGCCTTGAACTCACAGTGAACCTCCTGTCTCAGCCTCCCGAGTGCTGGGACTACAGGCGTGCACCACCATGCCCAGCCTTCTCATGTGATTCTGAGACAGATGATGTACAGACTCTGCTCTGAGAAATCCTGGACTAGAACAAGCAAATAATATTTAATACTATGTTTAATATTTAATAAACATTTAATCTAATCACACAATAAATCTCAACAGGTCCATCCCATTCCTCATCCTTTGGTTAAATTCTAAAATAAAATGAAATTAGACATAGTTCCTGTTTCCATGTTGTCTCAAAACCCATTTGCTCCAAGTCTGTCCCCAGGAGAGTGTGAGCCCAGCTCGCTCACCTGGTGCAGCGCGCACGTCTCTATCACCACCCACATGTCGTGGCAGTGGCTTCTTTTCAACTCTGGCTCTCAAGCTCACTAACTTGATGAGCTACCTCAAGGGGCAAAGTGATGAAAACAGGGTACTTAAGACTCACTACGTCCTCCTTCCTCCCATACCAGACCCTTTCTCTTTGAAGTTTTAAAACAAAATAATAAAATTTAATTTGTCCTGGAGCTGTTACTTAACAAATATGCACTGAATGCCTGCCACGTTCCAGGCACAGCCTGGGTCACCGTGATGAACAAAACATACACAGAATTTGCCATCTGCTTGGAAACTTTATGCAGTGACATTTCTGCACTGAAGGGTCTAAAGTAGAAAAGGAAATACCTTCATAGATTGCAAATAAGATGCCATTTGGCCAAGTTTTTTTTACATCATAAATTTACTTAAGGATAAATTACCTATGCAATTTAGCTACAAGAAGGTTCTTTGCAAAAAGAAAAAAGAATGTAAAAAAAGCAAGACAAAGCAAGATGGTTCTTTGCAATGCTGCTTGCAACAACCCCTGTCAACCACAGCAGGGGGCTAGTTATGTCTCTGCAATGGGATTGTGACACTGCCCTTAAAATGTAGATACAGAGTGTATTTATCAACAAGAAAGAATGTTAAAATATAATGCCCGCTGGGAAAGGCAGATTACACAGTATTCTACCACAGAAACCCCCATAAGGAGGCCAGAGACAGGCTGCAGTTAGAAATTGCCATGCCGAGGGACGAGGGACAGGGAGAAGAAAACACTGGCAGCAACAGCCTGGGCAGCAGAAGGACAAGTGGGGGTGAGGTAAAGAAGCAGAGAAAGCTGGTTCCAAGATGAAAGGGAAGAGAAACTAAGAAGCAGAACAAGCTTACCAAACCACCACAGGCTGCTGGGAAGGAGAACGTCAGGGCAGGGTGAGAAGTGGGAGTGAAGGCAGACTGGATAACCTGCTTTCATAGGTAGAGCTGACATGCCCTGCCCTACTCCCTGAGGGAGCAGCTGTTCCCCCCAGCCCTGCAAAAGACCGGAACGATAAACCCTAGGTACTTTCTTTATTCTCCCTTTGGACAATCCAGGCCAGGGGTTGGGAACCAACAGCAGGGAGCAGACCCTCATGATGCCTTCAGCAGCCAGGCAGGCGCTCTCCGTCCTCTCCCCACTTGGTTCCCAGACTGGGCCAGCTGACCGGTACTGGTTACAGGGAAACTGGGCCAGGCAAGGATGGTGGAGCTGAAGGTGGAGAGGTACTGTGGGCTTCTCCGTGGCACGGCTCTTCAGAGTCACCCTACAGGAAGTCCTTGGTGACAAGATTCAGCCTGAGCATCGAGCTCCCTCAGCTCTCCCAGGACCCATGCTCTTACAAGCAGGACATCAGGGGACTGGACAGCTGGGGACCCTAAAGATGAAAGCCACAAGCACACAGATACCCAAGCGGAAGTAAACACAAACTGAGGCTTTTATTACTATCCTCAGCTCACCAGGAACTGTACTAGGGAAACAAAACCACGCTGCTATAAAAGGGAAATAACAAATAAGGAACTTTTAAAATAGTACTGCAAAGAAAAGTTCAGCCGATGAGTCAAAAGACAAATATTAAGAAATCTCTGAGAGCAAAATAGAGAGGAAGAGGTTAAAAACTTAAGAGTATCAATCCAAGAAATTCAGTACCTGAATAATATTAGCTCTGGAGAGGCTTAGCAAAACAGAAGGAAACCACCAAGTGAATAAATCATGCGAGATTCTCGTAACTGAAAGTCATGAATTTTTAGTTTAAAAAAATTAAGAATCAGTATAAAAACAGACCCATATCAAAGAACGCCATTTGAAGATTTCACAACAGCTGGATGTGGTGGTG